TTTCTGTATATTTTTACACGAATAGGATGATATCTATGTTTCCTGTCCTTCCTCTTCACTTAATTTTATGAATGGATATTTTCCAATGTCATTAGACTTTGGAAGTACAGCTTTAATATTCTGGCATATGAATTGTGCTTTAAGATGTGTATTGTTTTTGATTTTTCGATATTATAAATGAACACCCTTGCACACACACACACACACACACACACACACACACACACACCTCTTTTAGCCTCCTAGATGGTCATTTAATGCCTACTAGGGTTCTGGGTAATGTATCACTTATAGTTAATGAAAGAACATGGTTTACTTGCATATAGACATTTTTCTAAAGTACTCATGGCTTTCTTCTATATTGGTAGGAAATGTGTCATGTGTAGAGAGATTTTTCTCACTGCATTTTAAACAAGGTGTTGTAGGAGGCCTCCTATGGCTCTGTGTTTTATTAAATGCATTTATATTTTATTAAACACAAAGCAAGTTAAACAAGTGTCTGTATAAAATCTACATGCAGAGAGCTAAAGGAATTTTAGAAATCCTCTATATCAATCCACTCTACTACAGATAAACAGGACTCACTCATTTAGGGACATTCTCCAGGTTACATCGTACAAGGCTTAAAATTAAAGCTGGGGAAAAATTTATTGGCTGGCATCCTTGGGAATTTTTGCCATTCAGTAATTAGAGTTATATCAGTACTGTCAATATTAGGGAAGTATGGCTAACATACAATATGGTAGCTCAGAGGAGAGAGAGAGTCTTAATTATTTTGCTGTAAGTTTGCTCATCAGATTTGCAGCTGCCATCTTGAAACAGATCAAGGCTATAAAGAAAAAGAACCAGGAGAGTTAGTTTTTTGAATGACTCACAGGATCAGGTATTCTCTGAAAATAAAATGTCCCAGGGAAATACCATGGGGGAGGACAGTAGGACAATTCCACTTGAGAAGTTTACAGAATTCAACTGTAGAATGCTTTGTTACCTCCACCTACCATAAAGATCTAGATTAGTGATCTAATATGTCCAATGTGTCACAACAGAGCCAACCAAATTAATCTCAAAACTCATTGTGGATGAGATAGCAATTTATCAGGGTTTTTGAGTCTAGAATTGGTCTGAGAGTTCTGCTTATCAGGGTCAGGCTGATCTGATCATTCCTAGGCCTTCTCACACACCTCTGCCTAAACTTGGACAATGGCACTAATCTAATCAAGGCTGTGTGGTTGGTCTCTCATCACGCAGAAGGCTGGTCTGACTTGTGAAAGTGGCAGGGCTCTGAGGTTTATAAGGCTAGGCTAAAATTGGCATAACATTTCATCTGCTAGACAAAGCAAGTCACAAGCCAGACCAACTTCAGTGCTTGGGGAAACAGCCCTAATCTCTCAGAGTCACATTACAAAGGGGCATAAATAATAGAGAAAATAATAATATATCCATTACTAAATAAATCTACTAGATCTCTTTCTTAATTTGTTATAATAACTATATATATAACTGATAATTTTTTTGGCTTAGCTGGTAGGTTTTGTTTTCTTTATGTTTCTTGATGTCATAAATATTTTTGTTATGAGTTGTTTTAAATACTTGGTGCAACAAGGCAGATATAGCCATTTAAATAACTGGATGATTGGGGAAAACAAGAAGTGTGAATGAAGAATAGGTGTAACTTTTTTTCAAACAAGAATAATTTTTTTTCCAAGTGAGAGATCTAGAATAGCTTCTAAGACTCTTTCCACTGCAACATTACATGAATGTATGCGTTACTTTGGTGCCTCATTACTCACTGTAAGATGTTGTTTCTATACTCCTTAGTATCTTTGTCTTATTTTGCCTCAGGGATGAAAAGTCATAAAGTTTCTCCTACCTGCTATTTCTGATTGATTGCTAGTGACATAGGACAAATAAGTGAGCGTATAGCTTATGGATCTATAGCTCAACTGCAGCAGTTCTGCAAGAGTTGTATCTCCTTCCCAGATCAGGCTAAAGGAGCAGCAGCTACCTGAAGTACGGTGTGTCCTAATACTGGAAAGGTACGCACAAGGACAAGTTAATCACAAAGAACACACAATGATTGCTACCATTCCTTTAGCTAGAGCAAATCACATGGCCAGTGCCATAATTAGGCTGGAAAGAAAACGTTACCCCATACTGACCCCATGACAAAAGAATAGGAAATAGTTTCAAATAATACATTTTATAGACATGGCATTAACTTTTTTCTCCAAGTTTTGAATAATTGATATAAAGATACAGCTTCCCAAGCTGACAGCCGAAAGACAGGCATTATGTATTTACATCTAGCAAAATCTGGATTTTTGTTTTGGACTACTTGGTTTTTAAAACAGCCAGTATATCAATGGTCACAAATATAAAACACATACTTTATTCTCCAATAACTTTTAATTGTAGAGAGATAACACTTGAAACATGTAAGGACTTTAATAACGAAATCCTCCTTTATATAAAAATGTAAGCTAATATTTAATAAAGACTTGCCCCATTTAAAAAAAACACAATAAAGGGGAGTTAAAATTAAAAGCAACACCCCGGAGCCAATGGCTCACACCTCCTCAGCTACTGAGGAGGCTGAGATCTGAGGATTGCAGTTCAAAGCCAGCCCAGGCAGAAAAGTCCATGAGGCTCTAATTTCCAATAAACCATTAGAAAATGGGAAGTGTCGCTGTGGCTCAAGAGGTAGAGCATTTGCCTTGAGCTGAAGAGCTGAGGGACAGCATCCAGGCCCAGAGTTCAAGTCCCAAGACTGACCAAGAAAAAAAATTGAAAGCAACAGGCCAGAGGGCAGATACATAGATAAGTTTAGTCAGGAAATTGGATCATGAGAGACAATGTTGAAAGAAAGACTGTCTATATTTGAGAATGATCCAGACTTGCAGTCAACTCAGTGCTGGCTTTGTGAGTATACATTTGGGACAAGGAAATAAAGTATATAGATAGGAAAAGAGAAAAAGCTGTAATATCTGAACATACATACATATTCTTGGGAAATCATTTACATCATTCTCCTACCTAGAGTTGCCATACTAGTCAAGTTGGATTCAAATCACATGTACTTGTAGGAACTAATTAGTTTTAAGATATATACTGCAAGTCAGTCTAGTCTGGCCTAGATACTACCTACCTGTGAAAGTATTTAAACTGAAAAACCTGAAAGATGAATTAGCCAACAGAGAAGTTGGGGAAGGGGGATGTTGAGAAGTTGGGGAAGGGGGTGTTGGTCAAAAGGACTTTGAGAGAACTGCTGGGAAGAAGGCTAAGTTTGGAGAAGAATTTGGCTTATTTCAAGATCAAAAATGGTGAATTAAGCAAAGAAAAGAGTAGCACAAGACAGCCTTAGAGAATACTATAGGGAAAACACAGCGGAGTCCACTCATCTTAGATAAGTCAGGCCCAGAGAAACAAAGGATATATGTTTCTTTTGTGTGGAAGCTACATTTAGCTTATAAACATAGAAGTAAATACTTTTGGTGGTAACCAAGTGTATACAAATGTATTCTTTAAAATACAGTAGATTCAAGGAAGAACTCAAGTAATGTAGTTTCTTAGAAAGGCAAAGTTTAACGAAATAAACACCAGGAAGTGGGTACTTGAAAGGGGTTAGTTGGGGTCAAGGGGAAATGAAGAGGAGAAGGGGAGAATGAGGTCAATAATTCAATGTATATACTACACAAAGTTAAGAAGAGTGAAGGAAGGGGTGGGAAAGGACTGGGTGAGAATGTTGAAGGGGTGACATTGATTATGATGTATTGCTTTGTTAAATGGCATCTCATTTGTACAATTACTTAAAGATAATTAAAAAAAATTTGAATTAGAGCAAGAAAAGCCATCATAAAGATTCCAGGTTTGCAAAAGTGCACAATCTACTTACAATTAAAACACACACACACACACACACACACACACACACACACACACACACACAGAGTAGGGAGTATTTCAATACAGAGAATAAATTAAATGGGAGCCATAAAGGAGGCAAACATTTGGCAACTTATTGCAATGAAAGGGGGGTGATAGCTAAAGAGAACTGAAAAACAATTAGGAGCAAGAATCATCAACTCTTAAAGACCAGTGTGGGTAGGGGATTGTTGGTGGGGGAGAAAGCAATGTCAAGGATAGCTTCTAGGTATTTGGCATGTACTAATTCCAGAAAAAAAAAAGGTACAAGTTTGAGGATCAAGGTGATAACTCTTGTTCTCAACGTAACAAGTGTGCAGAGGTCACTTGCTGTGCAAGTTGAGTCAAGTGGAGGCTGTCAGCGGATGAATGCCGAGCTCAGAGGAGAGGTGTGGACATATCATATGCATCTAGAAGATCATGTAGAGTGTTATATAGACTAAACTCTAGATCACGCAGATTCTAGAAGGACATTGAAGTATGAGGAAACACACAGGTAAAGAACTAAACCCATGTCCGGACGCAGGCATTGCTCATTTAAGGGTTTAGTAGTGGAGATGGAATGCCATAGAAGAATAGCTCCTGAGCCTGCAGCACATGTTAATCATCATGACTAAGGAAGAAACTGTTTCAAAATAGAAGTTTCCTCCATGTCTGTCGTTCCTGAGAGGTCAAGAAGTAAAAACAGAACCAAAAAGTGTCCTCTGGGTTTGGTAAAAGGAAGGTCAGTTGTTAAACGAAGTTTCTAGAACGACTGTGTTTCTTGCCTTCTGCTTGAGTTCTTAGTGATGAGGCTAAATCAGAAATCAAATTAGAGCCACTGCCACCGCGGAATCTCCTTCCGTTGCCCTTTGGGCTGTGGAAACAGAAGTACCAGTCCTCCCCATTACAGCCGGAAGAGGGCGTCCAGGCCTGGGAAGAGGAAGCCGGGCGCCGCAGCCCGGCGGGGGGAGAGGCGGCGCGTCCACAGAACAGCCGCACGCGATTGGCCGAGAGCGGCAGCCGCCCCGTGATTGGCGGAGGCGGAAGGAGGCCGTCCCGCGCCGCCTTTTCTCCAGCTGGATTCTTTCGTTTTCCTGGAGGCGCCTTGCTGCTACTCTCGAAGACCACTCGGGTCTGGCGCCTCCTGACGGAGCAAAGGCCACCCGCAGCCAGGGGAAGGCTGCCCCGCCGTCCCGCAGCCCTGCCCGCTGGCCTCCGCGTGCAGTGAGTGGTTTGGGGAGCGTCAGTCCCGGGGTGGGGGGCGCTGGGCTGCTGGACTCCGGGCAGCCGTGGGCTTGACACGGCCGCCCGCCGTCCACCTCCTTCGGGGGCAGCGACGGAGACTTGCGAAGAGGAATTGCTCCCTTCCTCTCACGGTGCCCGCTTCCAGCGTAGTAACTTTTTCTTCTCTGCAGAAAGTTGCATCTGCCCGGTGCCCTTCCCCAGCGCTGCCATCCTGTGCGTGCAGTTCCCACAGCCTTGGCACCCAACCTGCTGCGCTTAGCGGCCGCTTGCACTGAATCCTCAGCCTCTCTGTGGGCACAAGGTGCCAGGTCAGTGCATGTTCATGGAAACAAATTCATTTGAAATCTTTTTTTTAAATTATTATTATAAAGAGGATGTGCAAAGTCATTTGAAATCTTAATTGCTTACCTATGCTTGAAGATGCGGAGCTCCCTGTCCTCCAAGAATTTAAGATTACTAAAGTGGTATTTAATAACTGCAGAAACTCACGTTGCTATAATTACTCTTTAGAAATTCTAACCAGTAACGAAGACTTTAGGAGTGAGGCATATTGGATGTGTGGTTGGTTGTACTTTGGATGTCATTTATGAAAGTTAGGAGGGAGATGTTCTTAGGGAATACAGTAAGTAGTTATACCATACACTCCACTGGGCACCATTGCTTGGTTAACTTGCCAATTCTGTGTGAAATATACAAGTGTCAATTGAACAAACCGTATGTTCACAGTAAGGCACAGGGGTTGATCCATATACAGGACAATATTCATTGTCCAAGATCCAGCGGAGGTTTAAAAGAAAAATGCTGCCCCTGGAACTCTATTACACGTAAATCAGAGACACCATAGAGCTTTGAAAGGGGGATTGGAACTGATGCTCTAATAGAGAATGCAGTGGCCCACAGGCTAAAACTAAATATTACTGGGTATCAGCTTCATAGAAGAAGGGGACATCTATACCTAGTTTTAATTGCTTGTGGGATTTACAGAGGCAGACATATCTGGTATATCTGTTTGCAAAGGAGAGTAGCAGCAGGAGAAAAACAGAAATGTTAGGTTCAGTCAAAATATGGCAACCACTTTGGGTTGATGGATAGAGATGAGTTGGGATGAAAAAATCAGCCTAAGAATGGACAATTGAGCATTTTTGCACAGGAGTATAATGTGTTCCTATCGATATAGCAGAGGCTTGACTAGGAAGAAAGAGTGTTAGAGGAGCCAGTCGAGACTGAAGAGGAAAAAGTCATCCTTGAGGTTTGATCCAAGTGGTTGTAGCAGGTTGTGTGAAAAGATGAGATTGATTTTTTATTTGTTAACGTGGATTTATTGATTCACCCTACTTTGTGCTAGGTACTGGGTAGGTACTAGCTTGTAACCATCTTGTTGCTAGGGGAGTAACAGCTTGAGTTCACATGGCTGCTAGGAGGCATTATAGACCCCACTGGCCGCCCTCACAGTCCCAACATATTTGCTATTTATGCACATCCCTAACAGGGAAGAAGAAAGCCATTATTTGGAGCTTTCTGCTCAGAGAAATAAGTTAGAAGTAAAAAAATCAAATTGCAACAGCATGTATGCAGAGCACATAGGTGGGTTTGAGTCCATTTCTACTGATATTTATGATGGTAACTAGCTTTAGCCTAGAGATTGTGCCACTCTGCTTCAGAAAGACATTTATGCCGTAGGCATGGCTTCCTGCTTGTACATGTATATTTCATAACAGGCATGCATCCACATGTTTCCGTACTCTTTTTGGAAATACAGATTTCTTTCTCAAAGCTATGTCAGGATACACAACATTGCCAGCCATGTGCTGATGCACATGTATACTGATGTAAATCTTAAATTATGTGATGGTCAAGTAACACAGTGGTCTTTTTTCTAAAAGGCTATTGGACTTCCTTAAGAGTCAAGGTTTTATCATAATTTTTTATCTTCAAGTTCATTCTATAAAATACACACATAGAGATAAGTATTGTTTTATCCTTTCCAATTGCATTAACAATGTTGCTTCAGCTTTAAAAAGTCATTACAAGATGAAAGATTTCTTCATGCTAGGTTGTTTGCAGCAGGCAAAGAAGAAAATGTATCTCTTTTAAAATGTGTTTGACAAAAATAATTATCTTTACCATATAAATCATAAAATATAAAATACAAATCTAAAAAGGTTTTAGATTCCTAAAACCTACAGCTTTTGTGTCATTTGCTGTATAATTTTTGTCATTTGTCTTAAATCTAATAATGTTTTCAATTATTTGGTAAATGTCTATGCATTTGTTCTGGGGTATATAAAATCTCCCCCCTCCCAAGCATTTCCTGTTGTAAGACAAAAACAAGTTATCAAAATAAAAAAAGAAAGTAGGTGGTACATTTGAGGGCAGTAAGTACTTTGAAGAATATACATCAGAGAAGATAGTGTTTTCCAAGGCAGGAGTGGTACAGATACTTAAATCGGGGCAGGCTATGTTGAACATGTTGACATTTGAGCAAAGTTCTAAAGAGGTTAAAAAAAAAAATGTTGATCCCAGAACCCACTTTAAAAAAACAATCTTGGGGCCAGGTACCAGTGACTCACACTGATAATCCTAGCCGTTCAGTGAGACTCTTTTAGCTCTAATTACTCACAAAAAAGCTGGGAGTGTGAGTTGTGGCTAAAGTGGTAAGGTGCTAGCCTTGAACTCAGGGACAGTGCCCAGGCCCCCCTGAATTCAAACCCCAAGACTAGCACACACATGCATGCCCACGTGTGTGTGTGTGTGTGTGTGTGTGTGTGTGCGCGCACACGCGCGCGTGCATGCACAAATGGACTTTAGGGGCTAGGGATGTAGCTCAGTGGTGGAGTGCCTGGCTCGTATAAGGCCTGGTTTTAAATACTTTGCACCAAAAATGAGACAAATAAAAAAGTAGACTTTGGATATACAGACAGCATTTGAACATTTTATTTTACACACAAATTATTTCTTGTATTAAGCAAGATATAGTAGATATGTAACTAGATGTTTTCTGTGCTGTTGTGGATATCCATTCATGGTGTACGTTCTTTTTCTCATAGGATGTCTCAGTGGTGTGAGCTTCAACAGCTTGATTCCAAATTCTTGGAGCAGGTTCACCAGCTGTATGATGATAGCTTTCCCATGGAAATCAGACAGTATCTGGCCCAGTGGCTAGAAAAACAAGACTGGTAAGCAAAATTCATTGGGCAAGGGAAGAAGTTTATTTGTGCTTTAAAAATACTTGTAGAGTCAGGCACCACTGGCTCACGTCTGTAATCCTAGCTACTCAGGAGGCTGAGATCTGAGGATCCCTGTTCAAAGCCAGCCCAGGCACGAAAGTCTGTGAGACTCTTATCTCCAATAAACCACTCAGAAAACCGGAAGTGGCGCTATGGCTCAAGTGGTAGAATGCTAGCCTTGAGCTGAAGAGCACAGGGACAGAGCCCAAGTCCAGAGTTCAAGCCCCATGACTGACAACAACAGAAAAAAATTTGTAGGTGCTTTAAAAATGTTTGGTTTCTGTATATAGAAATGAACCTCACCAATGATTATTGGGTTTTTCTGATGCAGAAAAAGCTTGTTGACTTAAAAAAGGACATATGTCTACAAAACCAAATGTATTAGTCATTAGCAGTTTTTTTAATTTTGTCAAATCTAATTGTGTACTCCTAAATGCTTTAAATAAATTATATAATGTGCTCTATTTATTTTCCAACATAACATCCAGTTATGTGCCAGGTGCTGATAATCCTAGCTACTCAGGAAGCTAAGATCTGAGAATTTGTTCAAATCTAACTGGGGCAGGAAAGTCTGAAATTTTTACCTCCAATTAATCAGCAAAAAGCTGAGTGGAGGTATGGCTCAAATGGTACAATACCAGACTTAAGTGAAAAAGCTATAGGATAGTGCATAGGCCCTATGTTCAAGCCCAAGTACCAGCACACGTGTGCGTGTGCATGCACACACACACACACACACACACACACACACACACACACAACCTAGTTATAGAATATTGTATGTAAAAGCAACAAAGCTAAATTATGGTAAAACATTGATTAGAATATGAAGAAAGTAATAGATTAAAGCAATATCACTTAAAACTCACCCATATGTGTTGTATTTTAAGATATTATTTACTGATTGCAAAAGTTAACAGTCTGAAAGCATTTGACATAGAAAGTAAGGGCCTCCCTGACTTTTTTCTCTCACTAAGTAATCATCATGAATCACTCTTTGTAATTTCTTAAGTGTTGTCTAGTCATTGGTCAGTCTATGTGATAGAAATGCTGTGTAACTGCTGGTTTAAAAAAGTGTCAATTTTAAAAGAAGAAAATCAGCCGGGCGCGAGTGTCTCAAGCCTGTATTGCTAGCTACTCAGGAGGCTGAGATCTGAGAATTGCGGTTCAAAGCCAGCCCGGGCAGGAAAGTCTGTAAAACTCTTATCTCCAATAAAACATCAGAAAATCAGAAGGGGGCTGTGGCTCAAGTGGTAGAGCACTTGAAGAGCTCAGGGACAGTGCCTAGGCCCAGAGTTCAAGCCCTATGACCGACCAAAAAAAAAAAAATCAAATCTAAGAAATACTGAAAATATTTTTTTAAATAACCCAATAAGGAATGCTGAGTTTCTCTTGTCAGGTTTAAGTAGCATCTAGAATAAACTTTAAAATTTAAATTTAGGGAGCATGCTGCCAATGATGTCTCGTTTGCCACCATCCGTTTCCACGACCTCCTATCACAGTTGGATGATCAATACAGTCGCTTTTCTTTGGAGAATAACTTTTTGTTGCAACATAATATAAGGAAAAGCAAGCGTAATCTTCAGGTAGGAGCTGGGTTTTGTGTTTTACATGCAGTGCTCCCATGCTTAACTGAAATGGTTTTCTTCTTTTAACAAATAGTACTGAGAATTGAGTCTAACTTTAGAGAGGTGACAAAGATAGGAAAACACTATGTGATGTGTGTGTGTGTGTGTGTGTGTGTGTGTGTGTGTGTGTGTGTGTACATATAATGCCAGTTTATTTTATAGCGCACAAAAAAATTTCAAGTTGAAGAAATCTTTGGAGAAAGATTGGTGATTCAGTAACCTTGTTTTGCTAAAATTTTTCAATATTTAAACCAAAGAAAAGGAGCAACATATTAAGAACATTGAGTCATTATACCATAGTAAACTCCAAGGAATTTTAGTGATAAGTTAAATTCTAGTGCCCAGTATGCAGATGAAAGATAAGTCTGGAAAGTCCGGAAGTTTAGTAGTAACTTGGACTGGATCCCACTTTGCTTTGCTTCTGGTAGAGCTGCCCTCCCCTGAAAGAGAAAACAAAAGGTGATCCAAATGCAGAGAATGTATGGCAGAGAATTAGGATATTAACTTTACCATCTTCTGTATTAGTAGAAATTTTTGTTTTATTGGAAGCAAAAGGTATCATTTTCTTATTTTCTTATGATACCAAACCTTTTACCTTAGCTAATTGGAAACTTGCTCTTATTCTTTTTGAACGTCCCTGTGATTTTGTAATACCAGTGAGTAGAGAAATCAGATTGATATTATATATATATATATATACATACACACATATATTTGCTGTCCTTCAGGCTTTGTCCAATTGTGTTTATTACAAAGAACATGACTGATAATATTTTTCAAACTAGCTTTGACAGTGGACACACACGAAAAAGATTATTTTTGGTTGAATTCAAAGTGGAAGTCAACACACAGATGAACTGAAAAATATTGTAGTTCTTATATCATTTTCATAATTGGCTTTAAGGAATAAGGAAAAACATTAAAAATGTTTTTGAAGGGCTGAATATGTAGCTCAGTGGTAGAATACATGTGTAGGATATTTGAGGCTCTGGGTTTACTCTCCAGCACTGAGTAAAAAAACTAACCATGTGTGAAAATATTTTGTTTTAAATAAAGTACTCTTAAGTTCTTGTACTTAAATGGTAAATTAAAGCAATTTTTGTACTGGGTTATGGAAGAACTACTTTAACTTCTACAAAAATAGCTTATTCTTAATTTAATAGATGAAATTAAGGTTACTCATGGAATATGAAGTTCATATTTATAACTCAAAATAGTTTAAATATTTTGAATTTCATTTTTATTTTGGCCACCTATATCCAGGACAATTTTCAAGAAGATCCAGTTCTGATGTCAATGATAATTTGTAAATGTCTGAAGGAGGAAAGGAAGATTTTGGAAAATGCTCGAAGATTTAATCAGGTACAATTTTGTTTCTAATGGAATACTAGCACAGCAAAAATGTATTCATTTATATCACAAATATTTCCAAGGCCCAGATCAAGACAATGATGAATCTCCCTTTGATTTTATTGTCCGAAGAAGTAGAGAAAGTTGAATTTCAAGACTTGATAGAACTAGGCTTAAGAAAGATCCTTATCTAATGGAATTAAGGGACAATGAGGAGAGAGACCATAAGATAAACAAGATACTTCCAGGTAGTATTAGGGGTAGTGAAGATAATATGTGGGGTTTGGAATGACTGGAGGGGTGGAGCTGTTTCTTTAGGTCGGGGTCAGGAAGTTTTCCTGATGTTCTAGTGCAGAACAGAAGTAGGCAGAAAGTTAGGGAGTCCTTGCAGAAGTTCAAGGGAGCAGCCATAGAAACTGTGCTCAGATCAGTGGAGGAGGGAAGAAGTATACAGATTCAGGTTATGTTTTGGCCTGATGCCAATAGAGTTTATATAAAAGGATCAGATGTGGGCATGAAAGAGAGTGAAATATGGAAAATGTCTCTGTGATTGTGAGTTGAGTCACATGAAGAATGACAACCATGTTTATGAAGCTGGGAAGAAGTCTGAACAGGATTTTTGCAGATCACAAGTCTTGGGAGAACAGATAAATCAATAGAAAAATCAAGGCCTTTGTTTTGAACAATTAATTATTCACAACAATCCTAATTATAACTGAGTTAGTTTTTCTAGTACTGAGATCTTTGACCATAGTTGTTCATCATGCAAGCCTTCCCAGCAATCAGAATGCTGTAGTTTTTTTTTTAAGATGCTATAATACTGATTCTTTTTTCAGCAGTGGGATGATGAGAACAATCCAGTAGGATGGCAGTTACACAACGGTGGTATGAATTGGTCTGGCCAAGGCCATTCCAATATGGAAAGAGAAAGCAGGGGACACAGTAGAATGTGTACTGTGTATATTTTACCAACAGATAACAAAGTGAACTGGAGGAGGAGGGAGAAAGTAGTGGTGAATGACTTTCTTTGACCCTTGGGAATTTCTTCTTCCCTAGGACATTTAGTTTCTGTCTCTCTGTGACACCAAAAGGACTTTGCTGTGCTAAGCATGTAAAGCTTATTCATTCTTAATTTAAGCTGGCTGGTGTGTTTGGTCCCCACTTTGGAGAACAAAGCTGTATATTAAGGTTAGGGAGAAAGTTATCACCATCTCTCTTCTGAGACAAGCATACTTGTCCCCAGCCTAGCATGTACTTGGGAAGTTTGCAACAGGGAATTTGATTATGTCAGACTTTTGTTGTAATAGAAGCATGACAATGCATGCTCTGTATTTCAAAAGCCTTGAAAGGACAGCCAAGAGAAGAGCTAGACAGAAGACCAGGGTGAACACCTTTGCAACCTAGGCATGCAACCTCACTCTTGGCTTCTTAGCCCAGAGTTTGCATTGCAAGTAGAGTAGGCAGATCTTTATTCTGCCATATCAGCCTTATCCCTGACTTTTCTTTGGGTCTTGAAGTCTTGCTCACTTTTAAGCTCCCTATTGACAATGTAGGTGATTGGGGGAGGTTTACTTAAAGATAACTGAGTGACGAACATCATGGGGGAATGCTAAGAGTGTAAGGGACAGTCTCATTGTCTGGGAATGTCAGAGATAATGAGATCCTTTCCTTTCACAATCTTCTAGTCTGGTCTTGACTGGGAAGTTCAGAAATGTTTCTTTTTTATTTTCTCCCTTAACCTTTTGTGTGTGCACTTGTGTGCATATGCACCCTAAGGCTTGAACTCATCATGCTTTTGCTTGGGTTTTTCACTCATGGCTGGCTCTCTACCAGGTGAGTCACACCTCCAGTCAGCATTTTTTTGTTGGTCATGGGGCTTGAACTCTGGGCCTGAGCATTGTCCCTCAGCTCTTCAGCTCAAGGCGAGTTCTCTACCACTTGAGCCACAGCACCACTTCCAGTTTTTTGAGTGGTTTATTGGAGATAAGAGTCTCAGGGACTTTCCTGCCCCGGCTTTGAACCGAGATCCTCAGATCTCAGCTTCCTGAGTAGCTAGGATTACAGGCGTGAGCCACCAGTGCCCAGCTTAGTTCAGCATTTTTTCTGGTTAATTTAAGAAAGAGTCTTTCAGACTTGATTGCTCAGGCTGGCTCTTCAGATCACAGCCTCCTGAACAGCTAAGATTACAAGTTTGAACCACCAGCCCCAGCCCCAGCCCCACTCCCAACATGGTAACCTGTTATATACAGTTTTCATGTTTGTATGCATCTATCAAAAATAAATTAACAGTACTGGGATTTAAATTCAAGGCTTAAACTAGGAAAGGCACTCTATGAGTTGAGCCATACCTCTAGCCCTAAATTATTTTTAAAGTACAAAATATACAATTCATAAATGAAAATGAAAAAAGAAGGCATGCAAGTCCTAGAGAGAAATGGTGAATTCCTTTCTGCCTTTTAAGAAAAAGACTTTCTAATATTAAGTAACATCTAGGTACTAAAAAGCTGAAATACATAGAAAATTCATATAGAATCTGTGCGATGAGTAACACGGGTCTTATTGTCTTTTGCTTGTTTCTCCAAACAGAAACAACATCTATCTAGAATATGATCTCTTTGAAAATAGGGACTTGTGTTATAACTCTAACAAATAGGGTGGGCTATTACCAAATACTTACTTAACACATAGTTAAGTTTATACTGCGTGATATGCGAACTGTCCACTTGATGTGATGAACAAAGACATCATAACTTGTGAGTCTTGTGATTGCACTGAATACTCCTAGGCGAGCCTGTGTTTATGTCCATTATTGACTTTGTAGTAGCAGATTTTCACTGGAGCCCTTCGTGGCCATGCATTCCGATTTAGTGCACCTCTGAGTCACCTGGGATAATGCTCAAATAGTATTCTAATTTTGTTATCAGATTAAGACCTGAGATGCTCTATTTCCAGCCAGATCCCACGGTGATGATATTGGTCTGGAGACCACACTGAAAATTACACAGTTTTAAATAAACAATTATATAACTAATCTTACATACAGAATGTGAGAAATAATGCCCTTGTGGCATGTATGAATTAAAGGAAACTTTAAGAAATGCTTTTTTAGGCATGAACTGAGCATAGACTTTCTAGAGACCTAACAGTTTCCCAGCATTTCCCAGGGTCTTGGGAACTGAGCTATATCTTATTAACAGGAATGTGGCACATTTCAGAAGATTTGATATGGAGGTGGGCCAGTAGGTATGGACTTTAGAGTGTAACCAGTGAGTAAATGTATCAGAAAAAATAGCCACTGCTGACCAAACACTTCTCATTACAGGCGCAGTCGGGGAATATTCAGAACACCGTGATGTTAGACAAACAGAAGGAGCTTGACAACAAAGTCAGAAATGTCAAGGAACAAGTTATGGTGAGTAGTGAGTACATATGTCTTTCATGGTCTGTTGGGAAAGAAGGTTTCAGTGACCTTGAGTATAAGCCCAGTCCTTTAGGCAGAAAAATTTTCTACAACTCTAAACCAGAACTAAACAAATAGTAAAACAAGACTTTTTGTGGCCTCTCTTAGAATTTTTGAACATTGAAGTTATTTTTTTTCTTCCCTGCATGATCATGCAGTAAACGTTGACTTTGCCCTCATTATGCAATAAACTAGATGCTTGTTCTAAGTAATCCTTTATGTCCATACCTTCCTTTTTTTTTTTTTTTTTTCCAGGTAAGGGGTAGGTTTATTCAGTAGACCTGCTGGGACCAGGCAAGGTTGGCATTCCACGCAGCTGGGAAAGGCCTAGGAAAGAGAGAGAGCTGGGTAAGAGAGAGAGGAAAGAGAGAGAAAAGATCTTGAGAAGAACTAGACAAGAGCAGAGAGAGAGTGTCTGGGCCTGGGCTAGGCCTTATCTAGAGTATGGGCGGAGAAAGGTGTGGCCACATCAAATTCAGATGTGACCTCTTCCAGGTGTGCCAGTTGCCTAGGTAAGGCAGGTACTGGGTGGAGACTTTGCTGTGAGGAGGGTGGAGTCTGCTCACCATCCAGGAGTGGACCTTACATTCCAGCCTTTTAATAATCATGAAATAGGGCGCAGATTATATCAGGGTGTACCTGGAGGGGTTATCCAGAGCCACAGTATAAACATGGCCCACCTTTCTCAAGTATCTGTTTGGTTCTAAGACTTGAGAAAGGAACAAAAGTTATTTTATTGACAAAAAAATTCTGATACATTTGTGATTGGAATAGGATCTGCACAGCAATTTTAATATAAGCCTCCAAGATAGCTTTAGAGAAGCCTGGCACAATTGTTGGCATGTGTTTACTCTTGTCCCTGTGAAAGGTATTTTAGGACGCCTTGGCTAAGGAGTTCTGCTTCACACAAGATTTGTATTTGTGGAAAAGACCTGCTCGTAAGTTGGTATAGCCCAATGAGTAACATTGGCTTATATATAACCCAATATTATAATATATATGTATAACATTGGGTCTGGGTAACAGCAGCATGGCCTATACTCATGTACTTAACACAACATCTTTTTTTTGAGGGGGGGTCCGGTCATGGGGCCTGAATTCTGGGCCTGGGCGCTGTCCCTCAGCTCTTCAGCTCAAGGCTAGCGCTCTACCATTTGAACCACAGTGCCACTTCCGGCTTTTTTCTTTTTGCTTATGTGGTGCTGAGGAATTTAACCCAGGGCCTCATGCATGCAAGGCAAGCGCTCTACCACTGAGCCACCTTCCCAGCCCAACACAACATCTTTTTTAACTCCAGTTTCTTGCAGTAATTTTATTCTGCAATCTCCTAGAGAAAATATTCCATTAAAAAAGTAGAAGCCAAGTCATCTTGATGTAAAAGTAGCTAGGGGAATCCAGAGAAGAATCTGTAGAAATATGATTAAATCTGAAAAGAGTGATCGTAAATCAGACTCTCATTCAAAATAAGTAACTTGAGCTGGGAAGGTGGCTCAGTGGTAGAGCGCTTGCCTTGCATGCATGAGGCCCTGGGTTCGATTCCTCAGCACCACATAAGCAAAAAGAAAAAAGCCGGAAGTGGCATTGTGGCCCAAGTGGTAGAGCGCTAGCCTTGAGGTGAGGGAAAGCGTCCAGGCCCAGAGTTTAGGCCCCACGACTGGACCCCCCCCCAAAAAAAAGTAACCTAACTAATTAATTAAAATAGTAAATATACGAGACAGTAGGATGTGTGTAGTCCCTTTCTTGTAAAGAAAAGCTGGGGTGGTTCTCATGAGCTTGTTTTTGTTTTTTTTCTGCTGTATACTTCATAATTAAGTTACCTCTCTGAGGAGACTCAAAAATGATGGGGAAGAGCTGGGCATTATGGTACATGCTTGGCAGTTCTAGCACTCAGGAAGCTAGGCCATCCTGAACTACATTTTTTTAATATATATTTTTTATTATAAAGATACTGTACAGAGGGGTTACAGTTACATGAACACAGTAATGAGCCCATTTCCTATCGAGCATTGTTACCCCCTCCTTTGTTTTTGCCCTACCATCCCTTTCCTCCCCACCTCCCAACTCTTCTCTCCCTCCTCCCAAAGTTGTAAAATTCGTTTTCAACATAGTGTCTTGTACATCTCCTTCTCTGTATTCTTATTGAGGCATTTTATTTCCCTTCCCTTCCCCAAATTAGAAAAATGTATATGCAAGATGCAGGACACCAGAATCAAATACAACGATAACAGGGTTTTACCATGGGGGAAGAGCATACAAAAACCTATGCACATATGACCATATAAGCTGATGCTAAGCGAAATGAACCCCAAGATAGGAAGACAAGAGATTTATCTTACTTGCTGTTCTTTTTAGTGTACTCATAATGTACTATGTGCCTTTTTTGTTTCCTTGTATATTCTCCCCCCATAGCTGAACTACATTTTTTTAAAAACTGAGAAAGAATGAAAATTTAGGTCCTGAAATAAGTGGTGAGAAGTTTTGAGAATTTTATCTATGTGGTTTTTTTTTGAAAAATGTTATTGCTTTCTTTGTTTTTTTTTTGTTATGTTTTTTTTTTTTTTTTGGGGGGGGGGAGGGGGGTCCGGTTATAAGGCCTGAACTCTGGGCCTGGGCGCTGTCCCTCAGCTCTTCAGCTCAAGGCTAGCACTCTACCATTTGAGCCACAGCGCCACTTCCGGCTTTTTTCTTTTTGCTTATGTGGTGCTGAGAAATTGAACCCAGGGCCTCTGGCATGCAAGGCATGCGCTCTACCACTGAGCCACCTTCCCAGCCCCTGTTATTGCTTTCTTATTAATGAAACATATTTTATGGATGTGATTAGAGTTTTGCAAGTTTGATCCTTTTTTTGGAGGGCGGTCCTGGGGCTTGAACCCTGGGCCTGGGCACTGTAGCTAAGCTTTTGTGCTCAAAGCTAGTGCTCTATCACTTGACTCACAGCTCTACTTCCAGCTTTATGGTAGTTAATTAGAGATAAGAATCTCATGGACATTTCTGCCTGAGCTGACTTGGAACCTCGATCCTCAGATCTCAGCCTCTTCAGAAGCTAGTATTACAGGAGTGAGCCACCAGTGTTCTGCAAGATGATCCATTTGTGAAAGAGCTAGAATTGTTGCCGTGTTTCCCTACATTCCATAGAAGTAAGACTACATTTCCTAAAGTCTTTGAACATTGATGATGAATGGGAAACATGTTTATCTCTTCATTTGTAGAATATAGAGCATGAAATCAAGACCCTAGAAGATTTACAAGATGAATACGACTTTAAATGCAAAACCGCACAGAACCGAGGTAAATAGTGTTGGCAATTAAAAGTGCATCCATTGGCTGTGCTTTTTTCTAACTATACTAGGTAACAAAGGCAGTCATTCCTTCTTTTTGCCAAATATTTTATAACTGAATCACCAGTCATCAGTCACCTATCTTCTCAGTACCACTGATGTTTTGAGCCAGATGATTCTGTTATAGGATGTTCTCCCTCTTGGAGAATGTTTAACAGCATCCCTGACTTCTTCCTGCCAGTGCTCATAGCATTAGCCTCTAACCATCAATGATGACAACTAAGCAAGTCTCAAGATACTACCACATGTCCTCAAGGGAGAGAGGCAAAGTCATTGATAGTTGCTAACTATTACCTATGTGTTATTCACTTTTTATTGTACTTAGCTCTCTGACTGATACAGACTGAAGAATAATTGTAGTTTCCTTGTCCTTAATATCTAAAGTTCCTTCGAACATTCTAGCACCATGTGCATGTACCATGGAAAAACTCATTGTTTTCTCATATTTTAAAAGCAGCTTCACTGTTTTATTGTTGCTACTTACTTATATGTACACATACTTTTTTATGCCAGTCCTGGAGCTTGAACTCAGGGCTTGCTTAAGGCCAGCACTTTACCACTTGAGCCACAGCTCCACTTCCAGCTTTTTTGATAGTTTATTAGAGCCAAGAGTCTCGCAGACCTTCCTGCTTGGGCTGGCTTTGAACTGTGATTCTCAGATCTCAGCCTTCTGAGTAGCTAGGATTACAGGCATGAGCCATCTGCACCCAGCTTGCCACTTATTTTTAATGACATTAGCAACTAAAAGTAATGTGCATTGTATAGAACATGTGTGACATGGTTTTTATCCTAATAGTCATGTGATTAACAGAAAGTGGTATCAGTATCATTTGGGTAAAACGTATGTGAGAAAGGAACTTAAGCTACCCCTTCCATTGTTCCTACTTCATTTTCAAACCATAAACTCCATATATATTCATCTGAAGTTCTGTGTCATTTATATTTATTTAAGTAGTACCTAGAGGTCCCTGAAAACTAGTACTTTGTGTCCAAATCTTATAATTAGGGCATTTTTTTCTGTTATTTTTAATGAAGGTTGGTGGTCAAACTTTTAATTTGATTCATATTTTTTCTAAGTTTAGGTGTGGCTTTAGTTGGATTTCTTTTCTTATACATTTATATTTATGTCTCTCGCTTTTCAGAAATTGAAACCAACAGTGTGGCAAAGAACGACCAGAAACAAGAACAGCTGGTTCTGAAGCAGATGTTTCTAATGCTTGACAGTAAGAGAAAGGTAGTAATCACTTTCCTAAGTGGCATGTCATAGATTTTAAATAATGGAGGATATATATTTTCATACCACCTTGGCTTCGAACCCCAATTAAGACTGAGAGTATAGTTTCATTGCTTTAAATCCCGTGATAAATATGATTTCATTTCACGTTGTTTCTTCCTTTCCTTTTAGGAAATAGTGCACAAAATAATAGAGCTGTTGAATGCTGCTGAACTTACCCAGAATAGCCTGATTAATAATGAGCTAGTGGAGTGGAAGCGGAGACAGCAGAGTGCCTGTATTGGGGGACCTCCCAATGCTTGCCTGGACCAGCTGCAGAACTGGTAAGGTTTTCTGGAGTGGAACATTGAAAGCTGACCACAGAAAATAGTAGAGAGAAGCTTTAACTGTGTATTGGAATAGGCCCTGTCAAAACTTGGATTTAAAGTTTGATGTAATACAACTTCTTCTTACCCTGGAACACTTGGAAAACATAGTGTTATTCATGACTGTTGCCACATCAGCCACATCTGCTTGGTGGGGAGAGGCTTGGACCATGGGATGTGTCATTTGATTCCACCAAAACGCCAGTGACCTGGTTGATACATAACAATGTGATCAATGTGAGTTCTGGTGTTTTATTTAAAACAGAATATCTTGAGGCATTTTCTAAGATTAGCATGAAACATAGTTTTTCCTGGGTCATCTATTCAGTCTGCCATCCAGCAAATATCTGTGAAATGCTACAGTTTATACCAGGTAGTGTTCTGGGACTTGGGCGCACAAGGAGTAAGGCTCTTAGGTCTTGCTTATCAGTAGGTCTTCATGGACTGAGAGTGAATGGGTCCTTCGTGGAAATGAGGAGAGGGGTTCTCTTTCAGTAGAGGGAAGGAGATGGGCAGAGGCACAGAGGTAAGACCTGCAGAATGACAGTACACTGGATAGCTGGAGTACCAGGGAAACAGACTGGACAGGGGACTGGCAAAAGATGCTGCATTGTGATAGGGGAGTTTCTCAGGATCATCCCAGGAATGGTGGGCTTTACCCAGCAGATACTGGAGAGCAGAAGCAGCACATGAATTTCTCCAATTTGGGGTGTAGAAAAGTCCCTCTGGTGGCAAGAAAGACAGTTGATTGACAGAATTGACAATAGACCTATTGATTGGTCTATGTTATTTATGTTAGTGTAGTTCAGGGCCCAGGAGAGTCTCACTTTGCATGGAGCAGAGGAATGGAAGGGAATAGAAGGGATGGGTTACTGGAGTAGATGTGAGGGGATAGTGGCCTCTTCACCTGCTTTAGTCTTGCCTTCCCTCCCTGCACTTCCCACAGGGATAATATCTGAGTATGGCTGTTTCCATACTCCCCTCTTCACAGGGTCTCTGATGGTCTTACTGAGGCAGGATGTGCTCATGTTACTGTCTTGGCATAAAACCCACAATGGCTTCTCACTACCTTCTTGCGACAACTGAAGAGATCCACCTTGCTGTATCCCGTTTCTGTCCTGCTCTTGGTTCTACCTCTCTCTCTCTCTCTCTCTCTCTCTCTCTCTCTCTCTCTCTGTCACTCATTCTTCCTCCTCTCTCCCTTCCTATTTCCTTCCTTCCTTCATTTCTCCCCTCTCTTTCCTTTTCCTTTTTCTCTTTTTTTGGTGTCAGTACTGGGGCTTGAACTCAGGGCTTGGGCACTGTCCTTAGCTTTTTTGCTTAAGCTGGTCCTCTACTATTTGAGCTCCACTTATGACTTTAATTGGAGATGAGTGTCACAGACTTTTCTACCCTGTCTGAAGTCAAAATGCAATTCCCAAATCTCAGCCTCCTGAGTAGCAAGGATTACAGGTGTGAGGCACCAGAACTGGGCTGCTCCCCTTTTTCAATCCCAGGTTGAACTCAACAGATCAACCTAGAAACCCCACCCTGCCCAACTCCTCATACAGATCTTAGGAATGTTCAGAGGCTTTTGTCCTCTCCAAGTAACCAAGCCCCTTAATTCTATTGCAAAACTCAATCCCCACAACACACTATTTCTTCCTGGAGAGTGGAATGTCACATCCTGTGTTGCCCATACACAGATTGCTTTGGAACTGTTGCACTGAAGACACTTTCTCTTGTACTTTCCTAGGTTCACCACCGTTGCAGAGAGTCTGCAGCAGGTCCGTCAGCAGCTTAAAAAGCTGGAGGAGTTAGAACAGAAGTATACCTATGACCAGGATCCCATCACAAAGAACAAAACGGTGCTGTGGGACCGCACTTTCGCTCTGTTCCAGCAACTGATTCAGAGGTAACCCCAGGGAGATTTATTCACATTTCTACAGTTAACATGTCTGGAGGAACGTATTATGGCGATTCAGATCATTTTAAAGGGGTTAATAGGCTATATAATAATTTTAATGACAGTTGACTCTTAGTGAAATGCCTTGTTTATGCCCATGGGTCTTCATTCTTTTGGCTACCTGGTTGCAAAGTGTAGTGACTAAAAGTCTTTACTTCTGCCCCTAAACTAGTCTGCTGAGACCTAGCATGTCTAACCTCAGGATATTTATGCTCTCCTTCCCACACTGTAACCTCATCATTTTTCAGGTGTCAAAGCCTCTTTTTTGAACTCTTACATAATAGCCTACCAACCAGTCCTCCTTCTCAGCCCTTTTACCCTAGATCCTGAGATCAAGGGCAGTGTTCCAGGCTGAGTCTTCACTTGCTATTCAAGTAGAGCCCCTCAGCTGGATAGTTACAACTCCACTTCCACAGCTGGGAGCTGGCATCCTTTCTGTGCATAACTCACATGTTTTGGGCAAACTCTTGCTGTTTCCTAGGCCTGTGCTAGACAACTCTCTCTCCTCATGGTAATACTTTGCCTCACAGTCTTCTTTTTTCCTTTTCTGTCCATATTGTAACAGCCAGAGCATTTTATATGTCAGTCTTCCCAAAGCTTCCAAATAGATCCTTCCCTACTTCCACAGTTAAATTTTAGTCCTCTTTCATTCTGCCTTTTGTTATATAATTGTTTATGTGTCTATTATTTTTGTTGAAAATGGAAGGTTCTGGAACCTAGAGAACTACCTTTGTTACCCTTTGCCCAAGAAGCCTCTAGCACAATGCTTTGTAAACAGGAAGCAGATCTTTTTATTTTTGTTGTAAGAACAGAATTCATTTTGCAAAGTTTGTTTTTTATTCTAACTTGTTATACTGAAAGTGTCTTTGGTTCCCTGAGGTTAATATCCAAACATGAATGCTTAAATGTTAGATCTTAGAAAAAACGGTAAGGACATTTAATTGGATTTTTTCACTGCTAGTTTGAGTCTTATTTCAGATTTGTAAAAAATCATCATCAAATTCAGAGTTTTCATTGTTGGCTGGTATCACAAGTCATTATAATTACATGGTTTTCATTGAATATAAATTGAATTTTGTTATTTACTAATTAGTAAACAGCACTCTTGTGAGGCTCTTTTAAATCCTTTTCAGGTTTTGCACTCTAACTCTGTTTCTGCCCTAGGGCAAATCACTTATCTTTTTATTGCCTTCATTTACATATAAATGCTAATTTGTCTGCCTTTGCTGTATGTTTACAGCTCTTTTGTGGTGGAAAGACAGCCCTGCATGCCAACTCACCCTCAGAGGCCGTTGGTCTTGAAGACTGGGGTACAGTTCACTGTGAAACTGAGGTAATAAAAATAAAAGTTCGGAGCTGAGAAGGTGGCTCTGTGGTAGAGCACTTGCCTTGCATGCATGAGGCCCTGGGTTCAATTCCTCAGCACCACATAAGCAAAAAGAAAAAAAGCCGGAAGTGGTGCTATGCCTCAAGTAGTAGAGCCCTAGCCTTGAGCTGAAGAGCTGAGGGAGAGTGTCCAGGCCCAGAGTTCAGGCTCCACGACCGGACCCAAAAAAATATAGAATTTCATGCATTGCTTGCCCTGTAGTTTGTACCTTCAGTTTGCTTTTGCAAAATTGTTAAGTAGGGTACTGTAGAGAAAGTAATTTCTCAGTGAGCATTTTAACATGAATTTTTACTTAGGATATTCAAGACCCTAACTTTTATCGTTAAAATACAAGTTCAGTATATATGCATATACACACATCTAGACATATGTACTGGTTTTCCCCCAGTTGTAAATGTCATGTATGTTTACAGTAAAAAAAAAAAAAGGAATTCAGAATTGCAGAAATATATATGACAGTTTCCAACAGTGTCACAGCTCTGGAGCCTAGGCTTGTAACTGTAGCCTTTTGAACCCCTAAAGCAGAACTAGCATGCATGAATATGGCTTATGACATGTACAGTTTCTGGTGAGTCTGTTCCTAACTTTCCTAAGTGGTTTCCCAAGTGTTCCCTGATGTGTCTATGTACCACCACAGTAAATGGCCTGACCTCTAACCTCACATAAGTCTACCCAAGTCTACACAAATGTGTGATCCCAAGGTATGCCTGTGTATCTGTTTAATACATAGCATACACAAAATATATGTCATATAATATATCATTTTAAAAAACTAATAACATACATATATGTTGTTTTCTAGTCTGCTTTTCTCCTTGATTTAATTATAGCATTGTTTCCAGGTGAGAACATATGGCCTGAATTTATTCTAGTGAATAGCTGCATTCATTTAATCACAGTTCTGGAAATGAGCAGCTACAACCTAAAGATCTGGGATTGTCTTCAGGGTTATTCTGGTCTTTTTTATGGGATGCTACTGATTCAGGCCCATGGGTACTGCTTCTTTGGCAGACAGTGTTACTATATTGCCTCATGCACCTTTGGAAGCCAGAACACAGAGCTGTCAGGAACAGGAGAAATCTAATTCCATCACCTGTTTGACTAGATGAAGCTCAACAGAGTCCTGAGGATTACCTGAAGCCAATAGAGAAAAGGCTTATGGAATCTTGGCACAGTAAAGACAAGAGTCTTTAATCATTCCATCCTACCCCATATGATATAGTGTGATCTTCATTGTTCTGTTTAGGGGTGAAATATTTTATATTTTACTTTTTGGTAATTATTTTTATTTTTATTTATTTAATTTTATTTTTTTGGTCGGTCATGGGCTTGAACTCTGGGCCTGGGCGCTGTCCTTAAGGCTAATGCTATACCACTTGAGCCACAGCACCATTTCTGGTTTTCTGGTGGTTTTTATTGGAGATAAGAGTCTCATGGACTTTCCTGCCTGGGCTAGCTTTGAACTGTGATCCTCAGATCTCAGCTTCCTGTGTAGCTTGCATACAGGTGTGAGCCACTGGCACCTGGCTTATTTTTATTTTTTATATTTTGGTGATCGTTTCTTTCTCAGTAGGACAGAAAATTAGATACATGTTTCATAAAGACTGATGTTCATTACATTTTTTTTTTTTTTTTGGGTCCGGTCGTGGGGCCTGAACTCTGGGCCTGGGCGCTGTCCCTCAGCTCTTCAGCTCAAGGCTAGCGCCCTACCACTTGAGCCACAGCGCCACTTCTGGCTTTTTTCTTTTTGCTTATGTGGTGCTGAGGAATTGAACCCAGGGCCTCATGCATGCAAGGCAAGCGCTCTACCACTGAGCCACCTTCCCAGCCCTGTTCATTACTTTTTAGCTACATAAAATTAGCCCAGAGTAGAAATTTTGATAAAAACCTGTATTAGTGAGGTTATATTCAGAAGCAGCTACCTTTACTGACATTTGGAAGGAATATAACATCAGTGCTATGTGCCATCAGAATTTAATGTTACAATTTTGTCCCATCCATTGCATAACTCAGAATTGATTAAACAAATACACTTAAAGAGAAAAAAAGCCACTGGACACTTGGTGGCTCATGCCTTTCATCTTAGCTACTCAGGAGGGGAAATCTAAGGATCGCAGTTCAAAGCCAGCCTAAGAGAAAAGTTCCTGTGAGACTCTTATCTCCAATTAACCACTCAGGGTTGTGGCTCAAAGTGGAAGAGTGCTATCCTTGAGCAGAAGAACTCAGGGACAATGCTCAGGTCCTGAGTAAAAGCCCCACGACTGAAAAAAAAGCCAACTAGACAAATATTCATGTCAGTTTCATTGTTTGTAATGATCAAAAATAGGAGTGTGGGTTTATATAACTTCATAAGTGAGGAACTGGCATAAATAAGTTGTAGTTCATAATTTTTTGAACTAATGGCTTTAATTTTTCTTTCCAGGCTGTTGGTGAAATTACAAGAGCTGAATTATAATTTGAAAGTCAAAGTCTTATTTGATAAGTAAGATATCTTTACTTTTATCTAAATATTACTTGAAATGTTGGTTTTGTTAACCCAGTATAGACTCTTCCACTATGTAAAGGAGGAGATTCACCATCTAATCAGCAACTTCCTACATAGGAGAAAGTTCTCCTTCCTGTGGATGTGGGACAGAGTCCTTGTCCCTGATACTATGACAAGTGAGAGTAAGCTCCTAATTAGATCCAATGAGGCCATTAATGACCACAGCAGATTTAAATCCGTTGCTCCATTCCTGGATGTTAGGAGCTTGTATTAACATGCTGTGTTTTTTTTAAGTACAACGAACAATACAATAAGCTTAAAAGATTGTATTCAACTGTCTCAAAGTGATTGGATTTTGTATACCATTCCCTCTCGTAGGCTAGCCCTACAGGAGAGTTTCTTAATCAGATACAACAGGACTGGCAAAACAAAACAAAATAAACACAAAACTTATACAGCATCACTCCCATTCATTCTGTTGGTGAATCTAAGTTAATATCAACAAAGCTTCAGGGAATAGGGGATTATTTCTTGAAGACAGGTTATTGTATTCTGCTTAAGCTCAATTCCTCTTTTCATTTTTGGTGCTTCTTCTATTTTCAGTATGTTCACCTGTTGTTTTCTTCTTTTCTTTGACAAGGCAGTTTTGTATCACACTGTTCCTTTTGCTTTAAATTCTGTTTCTTTATTCAGATGGAAAAATAGGTCCCTCTCATAGCAATTATTTTTACAGAAACATTGACCTTCTATTTGCGAGAAGAATGATAGCTAACTCCTGTGAATGAGTTAATGATTTCGACTCTACATCTATGTGTTATTTGGTCAGAACATGTTGTTTGGTCAGAACATAATTATCTAAGTCTACAACAACATATGTGAAACTGGGTACTTTTTAAACATATTTCTTATTGTAAAGATACTGTACAGGGGTTACAGTTACATGAGTATGATAATGAATCCATTTTCTATCGAGCATTGTTACCCCCTCCTTTGTTGTTCCCCTACCATTCCTTTCCTCCCCACCTCCCCAACTCCTTCCTCCCTTTACAACCTCTAAGGTTGTAAAGTTCATGTTCAACATAGTGTCTTGCACATCTCATTGTTACAATGGGTCATCCTGTATTTTTATTTCAGCATTTTGTTATTTCCCTTCCCCTCCCCAAATTACAAAAATGTATATACAAGATGCAGGGCATTGGAATCAAATACAGTGAAAACAGGGGTTATACCATGGTGGAAGAACATACAAAAGAAACAAAAAAAATCACATAGTACATTTTAAATATGTTAAAAACAACAGAAACAAAGATAAAACCTCTTGAGTCCCTATCTTGGGGCTCATTTTGCTTAGCATCATCTTATATGGTCATATGACATAGCTTTTGATCTTTTCTGCTTGTCCTAGACATATACTAGTAATTGCAAATAAGGGAAACCATGGGACCTATGTTTCTTTGGGCCTGGCTTACTTCACTTAATATAATTTTTCCAAGTCTTTTCATTTCCTAACAAATGGGGCAGTGCCATTCTTTCTGATGGAGGCACAAAATTCCATTGTGTGTGTTTGTGTGTGTGTGTGTGTGTATATGTGTGTGTGTGTGTGTGTGTGTGTGTGTGTGTGTGTGTGTGTGTGTGTGTGTATATGCCACATTTTCTTGATCCATTCATCTGCTGAGGGGCATCTGAGTTGGTTCCATTTCTTAGCTATGGTGAATAATGCTGCGATAAACATAGTTGTGCTGGTAGCTTTAGTATGGCCTTGTTTATGATCGTTTGTGTAAATGCCCAAAAGTGGGATTGCTGGGTCATAGGGGAGCTCTATGTGTAGTCTTTTGAGGAACCGCCATACTGCTTTCCAGAGTGGTTGAACAAGTTTATACTTCCACCAACAATGCAGTAGGGTTCGCTTTTGGCCATATCCCCTCCAGCATCTGTTGTTATTAGCGTTCTTGATTATAGCCATTCTAACTGGGGTGAGGTGATATCTCAATGTTGTTTTGATTTGCATTTCTTTTATGGCTAGAGAAGTTGAGCATTTCTTCATGTGTCTATCGCCATTCTTATTTCTCTTCAGAGAAGTTTCTCTTTAAGTCTTTAGCCCAGTTATTTAATGGGCAGTTGTTTCTTTGAGGATTTGTTGTTGGGGGATTTAGCTTTTTGAGTTCTAAGTATATTTTAAATAAGAGGCCCTTCTCCATTGTATGGCTAGTGAAGATCTTCTTCCCATCTGTGGGCTTTCTATTGATCTTGCTAGCTATGTTTTTTGCCATGCAGAAGCTCTGAAGTTTCATGCAATCCCATTTGTCCAACCTTTCTTTGATTTGCTGTGTTTCTGGGTCTTTATTAAGAACATTTCAGCCTGTGCCAAGGAGACCTTGAGTTTCTCCTATTCCTTCCCGTAATGTTTTCAGGGTGTCTGCTTTTACTTAGAGATCTTTGATCCATTTGGAGTTGATTCTGGTGCAGGATGATATAGAAGGAGCTAGCTTTAGTTTTCTACAGGTATTTAGCCAATTTTTCCAGCACCATTTACTGAAGAGGCTGTCTGAAACTGGGTACTTTATAAAGAAAAGAGATTGGTCAGACTTATGGTTCTGAAGATCAGGAATGTCCAGCTGGGATGGCAGCATCAGGTTGTGTCACTGCATTCCTTAATAGGTATGAGAGACATGTGACATGGTGAGAGAAAGAGAAAACTGAAAAGACTAAATTCACTTTTTAACAAGCTGCTCTTGCAGTTAATCATTCATTCTCCTACAAGGCAAGCATTCATGTCTTCTGAGGGCAGCACCCCAGTGGCCTCTAACTAGGCTCTGCCTCTCATCATTGCCATCCTGAGGACCAAGCCTCGATGCATGAACCTGTGGAGGATGAATCATATCCAGCCACACCATAGAACAGCCAAGTAATAACTAGGTTGATAAAATGTGAGAGACCTTCCTCTAATCATGTGGTAGATCACTTTCTTTGCTTAGTATCTTGAGGCCTCCAGCTTGATCCAGTCCCTCTCCACCCTTCCTCTCCATACAAAAGAAAAAAAAAAACAGGTACACACACAAGCTTAAACTTACATGTTTCCTCAAATTACTGAGTATTCTAGAAATTTCATGACAGCATTAATAAGAACAGAAAATGGAAGCATAGATTGGACACTTTAGAAAATCCCGTGGCACAGAGCAGGGCTGTCTTACCTCCAATGCTTGGCACAGTGCCTTGCATGAAAGAAGTATTTAGTAAACAGAAGAAACTGAGACTTGCATTTACTGAGGCTCTTCCTACCCATTGACTACTTATTCCTCACAGTATCCTGTAGACTTGGTACTGTTAGCATGTCACACAAGTAAGACATATAAGCCCAGATGGAATCATTCAGTGGTACTTGGCATAGTGTGAATGAGCTGAAGGAAGGAGTGAGTAAATGAAAGAGCATTACATCCACAGGTATACCTTTGTTTTTCTATCTTTCATATATATGAATATATGCACACATATGTGCATATATACACATATACTCATATTTCTATTACAGCTTATAAACTTATTTTTTAACGTTGGAATTTTTTTTATTGTAAAGATGATATACAAAGGGGTTGCAGTATGTAAGTCAGGTATATAGCTTATAAATTTAAATACAAATAAATGATAATATGTTTTTTTTTTTGCAGAGATGTGAATGAGAAGAATACAGTAAAAGGGTATGTGATACACTTTGCACTATGCCTTGGTATGTTTTTTGTTTGATAGTATGAAACATTCTAAATATTTCTGTCCTGCCTTGTAGTTTTCGTAAGTTCAACATTTTGGGCACCCATACGAAAGTGATGAACATGGAGGAGTCCACCAATGGAAGTCTGGCAGCTGAATTTCGACACCTGGTAGGGAGACTCTGTCTTCCATCTTGATATGTCTGTCTCTGGTCTGTTAGGACTTTTGACACTGGAGCGGCACCTTGTGGCAATAAGTGATAGGGAAGGCCCCTGTGGACTTTCCAGAGGAGGAAGGAGGGGACTTTCCAGCATGAGAACATGGGGCATCCTGGTTCCTCCTTTTTCCCAGGACTATTCACTGTTCTCTGCCAGTCTTTCTTCTAGAAACACTCTTTTTGGGGCTGTTGCAATCTCAGGAAAAATAGTATGTATAAACTTAATCTGTTCTTGCCACCTCTGTGGTCTGTGACAAATCACTAAACTCCTTCTATGACCTCAAGGTCCAGCCTCCTAAGTACTCCTTCTCCTGTCCTCTCACTGTCTCTAGTGAAGGAGGGCCCAGTAGGCATTGTAAGAAGAGAGGCTGTGGCACCCTGTGTAGGTGCTGAGTTAAGGGAAGGTTGAGGAAGCACCTTTATCACTGGCACCCATCTTGTGAACTCACAGACCTCATAGCTAGGGAATGACACAGTGTGAGACCCTTGCAACAACTTGAGAGTCTGAAGGTGTCTGGGGGGTGCCTTCTGGCCCCACATTGCTCCTTGAAGGCCATGTGAGGGCAGACTAAGTCTGCAGTCATAGGGCCAAGATTGGAAGACTGTTGAGGTAAGGAGGAGGAGAAGTTGCCTCTGAACCTGGGGGCACAAAAGAACTAGTGAAGGTGGTTCTGGGATCATTGCAGGGAAGGAAGGAACAGAATACCCCTTCCCCCAACCCCTCTGCCTCTATACCCTGGGCTGTCCACACTGAGTCAGGCTGCTGACTCATGGACCCAGACAAGGGCCAGTTTGCCACTCATTTGCCATTCTGAAGATAGTGTTGCATTGTTCTTCCTTCCTAGTTTTGACTTCGGGGATTAACGTGCAATTTACTAAAATGGTTTCTTGTTTTACAGCAACTGAAAGAGCAAAAAAATGCTGGCAACAGAACAAATGAGGTGAGTGTCTCTGGTTTGTGAGTGAGGCCCTAACTGGGCATGTCTGTGTCCAGGGAGGGGTCAGGTCCTGGGGGGCGAGGTTGCCTCACAGAGGGGTTCAAACTCAGTGTGGATGGACATTGGGCCCATGACAACAGTAAAGACGCTCTGCCTTCCTTGATTGTTTGCTCAGTCCAATGAAAGGAGCACGATGGACTTTTGTATTTTTTTTTTTACGTTCTGGGTGAGGAAATTGAGTCTGAGGAAGGTTGTAGAATCTAGCTAGAGTACACCGAGAATTACTAGCAGCTGGCATACGAGGCAGCTGATACTGAAGAAAGATACTGATACTGACTGATACTGAAGACTGAATGAAGTTCTCAGCCACTGTACTCCCTTTGTTTTTTCACAAAGTGATGCTTAAGGAGCTAGGGTTGTGGTGCATCCTGAAATGAACTGTGGACAAAGGTCATGATGTCAAATTGTTTTGGTTTGGGATGTTTCTGTCCTTTGCACGCACACAGCATGTTGTCATTCTACAACATGAACAGTGGGGGTCACTAGAACCATGAATGAGACAAGCACTGACCTATACAGTTCACTTACCTTTCCGAGGTAGTTTGCATGTAACTGCCTTTGTAACCTGGGCCTGGAAGCTGCACCTCTTTATTTCTAAGTTAATGTGGACTTTTAGGAAGTAATGTTTCTAAAGACACTTAGAAAAATCTCTCATTTCTCCCCAACTGAGCCCTTTCTGACCTCCAGAGTATGAGAATTAGCCCTGCCAGGAGACAATCACACCTGAAACTCCTATGCATTTTTCCCTCTGCCTCCCTTTCTTCCCCACGAAGATCTGGGTGCTGCAGTCCACAGCCCTCATAAGTAGATAGATAGCTGGAGGCTAGAAAGCCTTCCTTAGCTTGCAAATAAACCCATTAGAAAATTACTATTTCCCTACTTTTTAAAAAATCTCTGAATCAATAACCTTTAGCATAATTTGAGACATCTTACTTTGAGAGAATATGGAGAAGCTGGGAATAATTAAATCTAGGGTAGATGATTTACTATCATAGCCTTCTGAATTATAGCTGATTAGGTCTAGGCACCACCCAGTTGGCTTTTGAGAGTTGCGCAATCTGTGAATGGATTGTCATATTCTTTCTTTTTTTCTCTTCTCTTCTAAGGGTCCTCTTGTTGTTACTGAAGAGCTTCACTCCCTTAGTTTTGAGACCCAGTTGTGCCAGCCAGGCTTGGTTATTGACCTTGAGGTAAGGTTTCTAGTGTCCTATGGTAGAAAACTACTAGAGATACTTTTTACTTTTCAAGTTTTAGAGTTGTAGCAAGGGAAAGAGTGACACTATTCAAAAAGAAAAGAAATGTACTCATTACCTGACTTACCTAATTGTAACCCTTCTGTACGTCACCTTTATAATAACAATATATATTAATTAGAGATACATATCAAATTGGTAATTTTTAAGCTAATACTCTCTTGACATTAATGATCTAAGAAGCTAGAAATTCAGTTAATCAAATTCTGTGAGCTAAGTATTACAGTTGAGTTACCTTATGTTAAGTTAAGCATCAGGAATTATTTCTTAACTGAAAAACTGATCACAGATAAACATGAACAAAAGCATATAGCTTTACATTATTACTTTTTAAGCATAAGATGTATACAAAATTACAAATACTCCTTTGCTTACTTTTGAGAACAAACATTTGTCTGAATGTGATAGGTTTGTGATGCAAAAGATTTCAAGGTCTTTGTCAACTTTTTTAGACAACTTCCCTGCCTGTTGTGGTGATCTCCAATGTCAGCCAGCTCCCCAGTGGTTGGGCCTCTATCCTGTGGTACAACATGCTGATGGCAGAACCCAGGGTATGGAAAACAAATTTGGTTTTTACCAGGGATCAACCAAAATCCTGCATCTTAGCTACTGCTTCTCTAAAACAGCCTCTCATAGCCAAATATTGAGGAGTATGGGCAAACCAATGGCATTGCTACGGAGCTTGAGTAATTCCAGGAAAGTAATGCAAGTGCATATGTTAGAAATGAAAACAATGAATTTCCTTCTATGTAAACGAAATCAGCTGAGTATGTATCATTTATTGTAACTTAAAAAAAAAGTTTATATATATATAATTAACACTAACAGTATACAATACTTCTGTGATCACAGTAATTTTTATTATTTGAAGTATTTATATTCTTTAAAGTCATTAGGAACACATAATAAGCAAATAATCACTGTTCCTAGGTAAAATAGTTTCCTGTGAACCTGTATGTGATCACAACATTTTTTTGTCAGCTCATCAATACTAAACTAATGTGTTTTAAGGCACCTTATCTAATATGTGAGATTCAAGAACACTGACCTTAGTACTGTAACTCACACTTGAACGAAGCTTATCTGATGCACATGTTTTCTCCATAAGGCTCATCTTATCTTTCTTGTGTGGTTATCAGACAGCACGGTACATGGGTACTAACCGAATCACCAACAAAAATTACAAAATTACAAACGTGAGAAAATTGTGGCACTAAACGAGTACACAGATGGTGCTTGTTTACAATATAAGAAGATCTGAAGGGAAGGCTAGAGTGTCTGTTTGGGCCACTTCACTTGGGAACCTAAGCGTTTTAAGTGCTATTATCTATGTAGGCATGACTTCAAATGACCAGAAAAATACTTTTGAGTATTGATTTTATATTTACAAGTAAACTTTACCATGAGTAAACAAATTCACAAATGTGAGTCAGCTAACTTTGAGAATTTTCCTTCCGTGACCTTTTAAATTTAAGTTTCCATATGATAGAAAGTAGAACTGAACTTGGGAGGGGGCCCCATATGCGGTACCTTGCTTGTGACTGGTGGCACTTCTGTAACCCTCAGCTTTTTGGGTGTTTTCTTCCTAGAATCTGTCCTTCTTCCTGAATCCCCCCTGTGCACGATGGTCTCAAGTTTCAGAGGTGCTGAGTTGGCAATTTTCATCTGTCACCAAAAGAGGTCTCAATGCAGATCAGCTGAACATGTTAGGGGAGAAGCTTCTTGGTATGGCACATTAACTCTTTGTATATATAAAAATTGAAATATATTCAAATATTTCTACTTGCTATCTCTCTCTTTCTTTCCTTCCCCACCCCTACCTACCCCCCCCTCCCCCGCCTCAGTTGTGGGGCTTGAACTCAGGGCCTGGGCACTGTTCCTGAGCCTCTTTGTGTTCAAGACTAGCACTCTACCACTTGAGCCACAGTGCCACATCTGGTTTTTGAGTGGTTAATTGGAAATAAGAGTCTCACAGGGACTTTTCTTCTTGGACTGGCTTCAAACTGTGATCCTCAGATCTTAGTCTCCTTAGTAGCTAGGTTTACAGGTGTGAGTCAGCAGTGCTGGCTCCTACTTGCTCTTTTGGTTCCCTCTATTCACTTTTTCATTAAAGGTAGGAGAGTGTTAAAATGTGTTGATTTTAAGCCAGGTGTCAATGGCTCATACTATAATTGTAGAGCTAGTGGTAGAACACTACCCTTGAACAAAACAAGCTCAGGAATAACACTCGGGCCCTGAGTTCAAGCTCTAGGACCAACACCCCCCAAAAAGAAAGTGTTGGTATTTTATTGTATCTAAAGGGCAAGTTATACCTTACCTTAGAAAGAAATATAGACCTAGTAAAATAAAGAGCTTTATAACATTTCTGAAAAGTAATCCTAAGGAAAATTTTATTGGATTATGTACTGTATGTTATTTGTGACAGAAATAAGTTCTTGATAAAAAAATACAGAGTGGTTAGGTTTTTTTTTTTAATACTTGAAGTGTTTTTTAAAAAGGAATAGTACCTGATAGGGTAAGAATAAGATCTTAGGTTTATAAACCCAATGTTCTTGTACCTAGTGGGCCCAAGTGGAAAGAGATTGCCATCACCCCCACAAGGGGGCAAACTTCAGACCAGCAGTTCTTTCTGATGAGGCAGATTCTAGACAGTGGAAGATAATTCCGTCAGTGGGATTATTAGTCTTCCACACTAATCAGAAAGATTCATTAGCCCTAGCGTTGGATCTTTCAATGAATGGAAGTGAAAAAATTTTTAGAGCCAAGTGCTGGTGGCTCACGCCTGTAATACTAGCTACTGCAGAGGCTAAGGTCTGAGGATTTCGATTCAAAGACAGCAGGGGTAGGAAAGTCCATGAGACTCTTATCTCCAGTTAACCACCAGAAAACTGGATGTGGCACTTATGGCTCAAGTGGTAGAGTGCTCACCTTGAGCTAAAAAGCTGAGGGACAGTGCCCAGGCCCAGAGTTTAAGCCCTATGACTGACAAAACAAAAACAAAAAACAAAAAAACAAAAACAAAACAAAACAAAAAACCAGCCCTTAGAAATACCTTTAAAATTTCATGGAGAAATCGTATCCAGACTTACTTTTGCATGGCAGCATTGCATGTGCTGTAAACGCGCATGCATCCTTCCTAGCCAGATGACCCTCAGCAGTGCCTCTCTCAGCCGTGCCACTTAACAAAGATTTTAAGGTCTCATTCCATTTTCGTATGTGATAGAAGTTAAGACTGTGTGTTTTGTTGTTGCTGTTGTTATTGTTGGTGGTATTTTTTCCTTCTTTTTCTCTCTGCCTTGACTTCTTTGTGATTCCTTCAAAAATAGGTGGACTTGCATATTCTAAACTCTAAGCTTTCTCTAATTCTCTCACCTGGCTTATGATTTGCATCAGTTTCCCTGAGCCCATGTCCTTTTGTGTAAAAAGCTGAGGGAATCTGTAATAAGCTTGTGAAGACAAGTATCAGTTACATTAATCACCAAGGGATAAGCACTAAGATGATCTTAGTTTAAATTTCCAAAAACTTTCTGTAGGGTCTTTAGCAGTGGGAAATCCACCGAGTCAGTTGCATGAAGCAGTGGGAAAGGATAGGGAGAGACTTGGTGGAGCTTTTCCACAGAGACTCACAGAGAGGCCTCGGCTCAGTGCCAAAGACAAAGTCAGTTTGGAAGTCAAGATGATATGGTGAAACGTTAGGAGATTTGTCCTATCTTACGGGGTGGTTAAGGGAGCTGAGAGGAAGGGAGCTGGTGGCGAGGCTTTGGGATGTTTCCCTTAAAGTTATAGTCATGGTTCCCATCCATTCCTTCAAGCCATTGAATTCAAACTAACTGCCGAGTTTGGAGGTTCACTTGTAGTGCTAGAACTTGGGAGGATGACAAGTTTGAGATCATCCTGAGCTATGCAATGAGACCTTGTCTAAACAGATAAGGAGTTGGGTAGGTAAGTAGATGATAGACAGACAGGCAGACAGACAGATAGATAGATAGATAAAGGCATGTATTGTGGTTCTTGTCTGTAATCCCAGCTATTCCAGAGGCAAAGATTTGGGGAGACCTCAGTTTGAAGCTAACATAGGCAAAATGATAGTGAAAACCTATCTCAACCAATAAACTGTGCATGGTAGCATGTGCTTGTCATCCTCACCGTGTGAATAGGATCAATGGGGAGATCACAGTCTGGCCATAAGCATGAGATCTTTTCTCAAAAAATAACTAAAAGCAAAAAAGGCTAGGAATATGGCACAAAGTGGTAGAGTGGCTGGCTCCCAAACTTAAGGCCCTGAGTTCAACCCCGAGTAATGTGGAAAAAGAAGAAATAATAAAATCAAATTCAAGTTTTAGACTGCTTTATGTTTTATTCTAGGATCATTGCTCAGTTAGTTTGGCATCAGTGTACTTGAGAATATCAGCCATGTGTATCAGTCTACCTTTGTGGGGTATTTTCTTTACGAGTAATTGTAAGACTTCTCAGTCTAGCCAGAGCATCAGAATCAAAATCTGTGTGCTTAAAAAAGCTTCCTTTTGTTTGTTTAGGTCCTAATGCTAGCCCTGATGGTCTTATTCCATGGACAAGATTTTGTAAGGTGGGTACTTCCTGGGTTTACTGTCGTCCGAGTTCTTTTCACTCTGTTGAAGCTCTCTCCTTGGTGTAGATGCCGTGGTGGTAAATTGCTTATTTTGGCACGTTTATCTCCCCTCCGTGGAGCTCTGAGGGCAAGCTGTTTATTTTCCTTTAGTGCAGGAGGTTGGTCTCCACACAAACGCTGACAGGAAGCACCTGCTTGAGTGATAACATTCTTTCATATCCGAAATGAATCTTCAGTTCCCTCACACCAGCCTTTGCCCAGCAGGGTTTTGGCTTCGGTCATGTGAAATATGTGCTTGGCCTGCAAGACAGATGAGTTGTTTGGAGTGTGCTCAAACAGAAAACTAGCAGGAGAGAACAGTTGGACCCTGTGCTAGGTCACCAGCCAGTGCTTACCAGCTCAATCTGCTGGGCTTTACTAATGGAAGGGCAGCTTTTGTTTTCCTGAGTCACCCTGGAAGTCAACCCCTGCTGGTTTGCTACTGTTTGAAGAGAGAAATGGAGAGCTCCAGGTCTGAATGCAATTAGGAGGCTAGGGACCCAGGCATTTCTCCACAAGGGATTACTGCTGCTCTGTGCCTGAGGTGGTGCATATGCAAGTTCAAATACCATGGTGGGAGAAGGTAGTAAGTTTAAGATTTCTTTGTTCCTAATACATACTTTTGTGTACTTTCAGGAAAATATTAATGATAAAAATTTTTCCTTTTGGCTTTGGATTGAAAACATCTTAGAACTCATTAAGAAACACCTGCTCTCTCTCTGGAATGATGGGTAAGGACCACTGATACAGTTTTTAAGTTTTGTTAGAACAGAATGATGTTGCAAGGCTGGACAGAGCCTGACTTGGCTTCAACATTGGACATATTTGTACACATCTCACAGAGACACACACTTATGTGCTATCAAGGCTTCAGAATATATATATATATATATATATATATATATATATATATATATATATATATATTGTAAAACTAAATTTAAAACCTTTTAAGTGCCCTTCAAGCATCTACTCATTCAATAAAAAATACCTTCAGTACCTACTTATTTGATTGCCCCTTAGAAACATAGTAAGTTGTGTCTATGACTCCTTGCCAGGATATTCAACAGAAGTCCTAAACTGATCAAATATATCGCATAAATCTGAAAGCATATTGTATGAATCTTCTGCTCCATATAAGAGATGCCTAAATGCAGACATTTTCATGGGCTTTTAGATCAGGTGTTGATAAAAGATCCATTAATTCCCAAGCCCCTGTGACAGCCCACTGATGTTCATGTTGGTTTTCCTTTCTACTTGTGGATGCACATGTATAAAGGAATGCTTCCTGAAGTGTGAATTAACTTTACTTGAAGAATAGTATAGCTCGTTTTATCATATATTTTCTTGTTAATTTGTAGTCATTTTCTTGGTTTGTAAGTTGACATGAGAATTCAAGTCATGATTGAGCTACAGAGTGCCTCTGTCATTCTTGATACCCAGTTGCATTGTGGGCTTTATCAGCAAGGAACAAGAACGTGCTCTGCTCAAAGACCAGCAGCCAGGGACGTTCCTGCTGAGGTTCAGCGAGAGCTCCCGGGAAGGGGCCATCACATTCACATGGGTGGAGCGGTCCCAGAATGGAGGCGGTGAGTAAAGAGTGCTGGAGCACCTGGCTGGGCACAGCCCTTGTCTGAAACCTTTCTCCATCACTGCAGGTAGCCCATGTGGGTAAAGAGATTTGGACATGAAATTGCTGATCCCATGCTTAGCTCAAGTGAACCCCACTCCTAGATGAGGTTCACTAAACCCCTATGAATATCAGTGATTCCCTTCCTAGGAATCACTTTCCTGTGGAAACAATAGTTATTAAAAGAAAAGGTCAAGTCCTTTTTGTCACATTTGTTATCTGCAGATCAAGGATGTGAGTCAGTATAATCTGTAACCACTTCTTGGAACAGATCACATTTCCCACAGCACAAAATTCCAGAGTCCCTCAGTGCAGAGTAAACTGGGTTGGACCAGTTCTTACACTCCTGTTAGGATGAACAGGATGAAGGGACTGCTGGAAGGAGCTGTCTTTAAGCACAGCAGCTACACATTTATTTCTGTTCTATATTGGCATTTTATTTAGCCAAATGAATCTGTAGCCCAAAGACACTAAAAATGGTGTTATAAAGCAGGTTTCTGGAAATAGGTGAACAGAAATGATGAAGAAATGGCAGTGCCAAATTGATTATTTCCATGGTTGCTTACAGTTTGCTTAGAGACTGAGGGAACGGTGGATTTATCCCAGTGGCTTTTATGTTTTCAGTGGATAGGTTTTGAAACAATGGAATACCTTTATTGTTCTATTCAATTGTTCTTCTGAAAAAGCTGGAGGGCTGGGATCGCAGCCTGTTGTAGGCTCCTGTTGGGAACCTGCTCATTTTCTCTTTTCCCTGGTAACTTATTTCCTGAATAAACTGAGAGGTGGAGTTAGCAAACCAATCCGTGAGAAAGAAAATGCTTGGCACCCAGCAAAGTTTAAGGCTAAGTTACAAAGGGCAGCTGTAACTACCAAGATTTAGGATACCATAGAGTCAGAAGTTCTAGGAAAGCCCAGACCACTGAGTCTCAGCTTCTGGGACCTGCACATCCAGAGGCAGCTTTCTGGATAAATTACAAAGAAGGTCCTGAAATAGGTCTGAAAATAACAGAAGTGATTGAATTCTGGTTTATTAAAGAGGAAAGGTAGCATAGGATCTTTTTGTGTTTCAAAAATTGTCTTCTAGGGCTGGGAAGGTGGCTCAGTGGTAGAGCACTTACTTGAATGCCTGAGGCCCTGGGTTCGATTCCTCAGCACCACATAAGCAAAAAGAACAAAAAAGCCGGAAGTGGTCCTGTGGCTCAAGTGGTAGAGCGCTAGCCTTGAGCTGAAGAGCTGAGGGACAGCGCCTAGGCTCAGAGTTCAGGTCCCATGACCAGACCCCCCCCAAAAAATTGTCTTCTACATATAATCATTATATATTTTAATTAAAAGATGTTTTTCGGTATGAAAAGAAATAAACCTTTCAGTAGCTTAATCCTATTGTGAGGGTGGGGAACCTTTTTTTCTGCTAAGGGCCAGTTGGATATTTATAACATTATTTGAGGACAATAGAGAATTATCAGTATAGGCAGCCAATGAGAAGCTTCCATTCTTGTTCTAACATGTACCAAATAATATCACTGGCTTTATTCAGCCACAAGCCATAGAACCCTATCCCTGATCTCAGCATGAGCTAAGATGACCCCATTGATAATTATTTAACTGCCTATGGGCAATGTTTTATTGAAGATGTAGGCTTTTAAAAATGTTTTGGCCAGGTTTATGAATAAACAAATAATTGTTAATGATGTGTGAGGATTGACTTTGCTTTTCCTCTTCTTAATGCATGATTAAAACATTCAGATGTAAAGATTGTAGTCCACTAAATGTATGATAACTCCAGGCACACTCAAATCTGTGAAGTCTGCAGAGCTTTGCTTTTTCTCTGTTGTTTGGGGATATTCTTTGGGCCTCACAAAGGTTTTTTTGTTTTTTTTTTTAGAACCTGAATTTCATGCAGTTGAACCCTACACCAAAAAAGAACTTTCTGCTGTTACTTTCCCTGATATTATTCGCAATTACAAAGTTATGGCTGCTGAGAATATTCCAGAGAATCCCCTGAAGTATCTGTATCCAAATATTGACAAAGACCATGCCTTTGGAAAATATTACTCAAGGCCAAAGGAAGGTAAGTGGGTGGCAAGAAGCCACTGCCTGAAGAGAAAGAGCACAGCGCAGCCCTTCCTGGTAGTAGAGCGTTTGTTCTCAGATGTGTCCTTGACATCCCATAGGTGGAAGGTGCCAGCACAAACGCCCACAGTGCTGACACTAACCCACCACTCTGTTCTGAGCTGGAAACAGTAGGCTTTCAAATTATAGCATAAGTGGCATGGTGGACCATACCTGCAGTAGTAAATTGTTAGTTCTAGGTGATAATACTAGGCTGTCAGTTCTAGGCTAGCCTGAATGTTCAGGAGACTCCATCTCAAACACAAAAAAGTCAAGCATAGGGGCACACACCTATCATCCCAGCCACCCAGGAAGTATACAAAAGAGGACTTTGTCCAGGTGAGTCAAGACATGAATAAAAGGCCCTAACTAAAGTAAAAATGGTTTTGTTGGGGGAAAGTGAAGGAAAGAGTGATGTTGTCCAAGTGACATTGTACTCTTTACCTGATTCATTAAATGGTAACCTCACTGGAAAACACCTTAACAATAAAATTATATTTTAAAAATAAAACATTTTTTAAAAAGAGCTTTGGGCATGGCTCAAGTACTTGCACAAGGTCCTGAGTTTAAATTTCAGTACTGTCAAATGAAAAAACTAAAAGAAACCACAGTCTACACTCAGTGCAGTTGGAATAAAATGGATTATTTGGCTTGATTTAGCTAGTAAGTCATTTGCCCAGCTTCCTATTTTAGAGCTATTGGGAAAAAGCCCACTCTGGTACTGTGAGTCTGTCACAGTATCACTTTTCCCACATGAAAAGGGTGAAGGGTAATAATTACAGTTAACCAATTCATGCCAGCCTGCTTGTGTTAAAATTTAGGACACAGGTCCATCAGTAAGAGGGTTCATCCAAATGGACCCAGTTAATGGTTAGATCCTAGATCCTTTTTTCTGCTAGTTGCTTCTGTATTCCCACCAGAATTTTAAGTGACTTGAAAAAGGAGATCATGACCCCTTAAAGATGCAGAACTCTTTTAAGTTGTCTAGTAAAACAAAAGAATTTTGACCCTCAACCCAAAATGTGCTTGTTCTGTTCTTGGGTGATTTTTGCTAAGGCAAAATATACACATGTGCTTGCTTGTAGCTCCAGAACCAATGGAACTGGATGGTCCTAAAAGAACTGGCTACATCAAGACTGAGTTGATTTCTGTGTCTGAAGTGTAAGTGAACACAGAAGAGAGGCATGTTCGGAACCTTTAGCCAGTCTTGCTTCTGGCTGGGGCCTGTTGATTGTACTTTGCTTGCATTTTGCTTTTCCATTGTAATTGCTATAACCAGCTCAGTTGGACTTGTTGAAAAGCTCTTATCTAGAGGTTGGGTATCACTGCTTACCAGCATTTTACTTGCCTTAAAGAAACAAACAAGACAAAAAATATGAAGTTGTGTGTAAGAGATACAATTGCTCCTCAAACTGATACTTCAAAAAAGTATAAATAAAATGGACAAAAATTGATGAGTGGAAAAGTAAGTTCTTTTCAATCTAGACAAGGCCAAAGTCATGACTGAGATACATTTTTTTCCTCCACTTGCTTTTATTTTGTTGTTTCATTTCATAAAAGGTAGAAAAAGTTTTGGAAAGTCATTGTCAGTTATTTGGCCTGCAGCACTGTCTTGGGGTGAATGGATGTAGCCTTCATGTAAAAACACTCTGTGGAGCAGCTTTATCTGCATGCAAACTTCAAGGTAGGGATGAGGGACTTCCCAGATATTTCTCTGGTGCTTTTTCTGTACAGGGTAAGCCACAAGGTCCTGTCATGCAGGGTAACACTACATGTGCTCACACTCAGGTTTCATCAGGCAACATGGCACAGGGTCTAGGCTGGCTATTGCTCACTCACATCTAAGTATAGTACATCCCAAGGGGCCAGGCCAGGGGCATAAACCTCCCACAATCTCTACTTTTTCAGCTGTGTCTTATATAGTAGGTACTTTTCTGGAATAAAAATTAAAAGATCATGCAAATCACAGACAAAAGATAAAAATGTCTGAATTTACACTGCTGCCTGAATCACTTAAGTACTAACATTCGTCTCCCTTTTTCCTGTTTCAGCCATCCTTCTAGACTACAGACCACAGATAACTTGCTCCCCATGTCCCCAGAGGAGTTTGATGAAGTAGCGCGGATTATGGGCCCTGTAGAATTTGACAGTATGGTAAGTGCTGGGGGCCAGGTGTTGCTGCCCTCTACTCCTAGACTGTGCGCCCTCTGTGGCAGGCAGGTGTTGTGGCAGATCCTGCTTGTGAGAAGAAATCTCTGCAAAGTCAAGCAGAGGGTATTTTCTGGATGAGCCTTAACAGGTTGGAGGCTACTACAGTTTCAACAAACATTATCAGATTTTTATTCTTGGCATTCAGCACCCTCCAGACAATATTAGATGGCATTTCAAACTTGTGTCTCCTTTTTTAAACCCTTTCAAATTAGAATTTCTGTCCCTGTTGAAATTTCACATATTAAAGAGCTAAGAATTTTCTGGTAGGAAATTGTGTTAGTCATTCCTGGGGCCGATAACAGGGTATTAGCCTTAGGCGTGTTGGTTTTAGGCCCTAGTGCTTGACAGTGACTATTATTCTAAATTTTAGCTCTATATTCTTAGCAGCAATGAAACCACTTCACTTGCTTTATACTTGAGACTACTTTTCATTACTAGCTCCTGAAGTTGCGAAGGCTCGCTAGAACAAATGGTTCAGTGAGAGTGATTGTTAATCAAAGGAGAGAATCTTCTTTTAAGAGAATATTTTTCCAGTATATCAAATAGTATTGTTTGCCTTTCAGCCTGGAATCCTTCCTCTGAAAGATTTTTTTTGGGGGGTTGGCTACGTTTTTGCTGATGCTGTTTAATTTTTAAGCCTCTTTCCACATGGAGTTATTCCAGTTCATTTTTAAAGGGCCTTTTCTGTAATGCTTTAAAAAAAACCCTGAGTCATGACTTTATACCTGGTTCCTAACAAAAATGTGTGTTCAATAATGGGAGGAGATGGGGGAGAGCCAAGGGAGAGAGATGGGGTACAGGGTATCTCTGGGTATCCATGCACCTGGGGAATGGATTTATGTGGCCTCAGTAATACCTGCTTGGACTCAGGATTCTTATGTGAACTTTTTTTCTTTAGCCTGAAACACAGGCTAAAAGTCATTAAAAATTAACTACGATCCCTATTCCATTGGTGCAGTGAACCTTTATCTGTATAATATAGTATCCAGACACTGCTATAAAAATGCCTGTCAGGCAGGAGGCACGGTTCAAGTGGTAGAGTACCTGCCTACCACGTGCATGACACTGAGTCCAAACTCCAATACTACTAAGAAAAAAGAAAGTGACAAGGAACTGCCAGGTGCTAGTGGCTCATGCTAATCCTTGTTACTCAGGAGGCTGAGACCTAGAGGATCAAGCTTTGAAGCTAACCCAGGCAGAAAAGTTGGTGAGACAAGTCTTATCTTTAGTGAACTAATAAAAAGCCCACTGAAGGCGTGGATCAACTGGTAGAGTCCCTGTTGTGGGTGAACACAAGTCAAGTAACTGAATGGTTCTGAATTCAAGCCCCAATAGAAGCCAAAAAAAAAGTGCATATAAGCCTTACACAAGAATGGGAAGTCTGATTCAGAAAATTAATGAAACAAACAAGGACTGTAGATGGCTCTTTTACCTCTCTTGTCCATAAGTTATATCGCTATCCTCACCACTACCATTGATGAGTTGATAGGTGGCACTTATTAAATATGTCCCATATGCCAGGCACAGGCACTTCTTCATGGAAATCCTTTGAGTTAGGTATAAACTAGGATGTAATAGTCAATAAATGGCAAAAAAAAAGTGTTTGAATACACTTGAACTGGCTGCCTCTTATTCTCCATTCTGGAATATGTCCCACAAATATCTAGGCTTGGCTTCATTCAAAACATACACCCTAAAGAGCCTGTTTGTACAGAGATCGAGTGCTTTATTGCGCTTTTTAAGATGAAGGCAGCGTAGCCTTGGGTGAGAGGCCTGTGGGTGGATTTGGCAGGCAGAGGTCCAACTCTGTCATTGCTGTTGTTCCTATGACCTTGGGAACATAAGATGGATTAGTTTCCTCCATCTGTGCAAGCAGGATAGCTTCTTTGAGTCAGTGTGAGAGCAATTTAAATACTGCAATTAAATGTCAGGAAATGGGTTTGTGGTCTTTGGATGCCCCTGTAGCCATTCCATTCCATTCTCTATGATTTTGTTCATTTTATTTGTAGAACAAAATAAGTCGGTCACACAGCCAACCAAAGTTTCCAGGTAAAGCCATGAAAGACCTACAGAGCTAAAAGGACACTATCCTAGAGGCACAACATTATTAGATTGAGTAAAAATCAGACTAGTGTCAATCCTCAGTCTTAGCTGTGACTTCCATTTAGCACCTGCTTTTAGAATTAGGGCATGTGTCCTGAAATGGATGCAGCTCTCAGGGCTGAACGATTTCTACCAAGTCTGCGGTTGCAGTTCTAGAGTACTGTGACCCCAGGGACTGATGCCTGGTGCAGCCTCAGGAGTAAGACGCTCCTGAGGAAATTGTCTAAAGTGAGTCAGAGCATCAGTATTTGCTGCAACATGACTTAGGCATTAATTTAGTCTGGATTTTCTGTATAATAACTTTCTCCATGGACTTCTAACAGAACCAGACTACTCTCTTAGAAGCCTTTGTCCACAGCTCAAACTAAGAACATTTATTGTCACTATTTTTTTCTGCTATGCCGAACATTTTACATATACCTTCTAATTCAGTCCTTTCAACAAATCCATATGCTAGTGTTGTCCAATTTCTACATATTCAAGGATCTTCATATTTAGAACAGGTAAGTGACATGCCACGGTCACACAGTAACAGGATTTGAATCAGGGTTCCTGTCCTTCTGCTTCTTTCTCCTTCTCTTTCCCCACCTCTAAGTAGACCAGCTTAACTATAAATTTGCACTGTCACCCAGGCTGCAATATGGAGGCAAGCCCTTTAATGTGCTTTTCAGTGCCAAAGAATTTTCCTACAACCATACTGTATAGCACTTACCATTGAGTGCTTGGGATTTGGAAAATCTTAAGAGGCTTTTACAGTTCAGTGTCATGTGTCTCAATCCTAGTACCTTGGCATTTGTGGCTAGATAACTTGTTATGCACTATTTTTTGCCCAAAAGATGTTTAGTAGGTAGAAGCCAGTAGATACACCCAGTCTTGATGATGAGAAATGTCTTCAGACATTGCAGAGGACAGGATCATTACTGACAGTGATTGTCTGGTCTAACAGAACGAGCAGAAAATTAGGAATTCAAGGGCAAGCTAGGATTCTTGGATAAACATTTTACTGTCGGCAAGTTCCTCTGTTCCAGGGCAGTAGGCACTAGTGCAGGAGGTAAAGGAGTTCTCATAATAATTCTCCTCTTTTTGCCTGTATCTGTAACCCAGGTTTCATTTATTTTACCTACTGAATGACCTTAACGGGAAATTCATCATTTCATTTCCCTCTCATCCCTCTCCCTCCGGCATATAGTTCAGCGTTTCCACACTTGTTTTGCATGGGCAGATTTGCCACATTGCTCTGTCACTAGACTTGCTTAACAGCAGAAAGCTTTATATAGTCTGTCTGGACGAATTCACAAAATTGAGTCAGCAGGCTGGAAAGTATAATCCATCAGCTTAAGTGACATAAAAGGTCTTGATTAGTCCAGGAAAATGGATAGGACATGCTGAAGACTTTAATTTCATGCTGGTTATTTGCTGTTGGAAGCATCTTTCTGCTACTCCATTGTAGAACGGACAGTAATGTTAAATGTATGCATTTGCATGTCACAGGATCCATATAATGATCTTAACTACATTTTGTCTTTTTGCAGATGACCACAGTGTAAACGTGAATTCCTATCATCTTCTCTGGAGACACTTTCTTCCAATGTGTGATTTCTCCTGCTACTCTGTTCCTTCATATGCTGTGTTTCTAGGGAAATGAAAGAACAAGAGTTTTGCTACAAACTGTTGATAGCAAGTGGATATTTCCCTAATTCTGAAACATGTTACTTTGAAGGGCTTCATTATCTTCTTGAAGGTTCAATGGAAAGAAAAGCACTCTATGCAGAGTGGAATTTGCAAATGGAAAATATCCAGATACACTGAAAGCATCAAGACTAGAATGAGATTCCTTTGGGAAAGGTGAGAAGCGTGCTAACATCTAGCAACTGTAGGTCATTGGCTAGATCCATGGATATTTAGGTACCAATTTAATGTAGTGATGGTAAATTTGTTTTAGAGAATTCTTATGTGTTGTCTCTGCTTTAAATATGATTGGAAGTTTTCCATTACTATACATGTGACATAATTCACAGTCAAGTTTATATCCGATGACATAATATTTTGTCAACATTAGCCATCCTACTACTGAGTAGGAGAAAAACACCTTATTTTCTTAAACTTGAAATTTGACATGTAGACAGACATAGAAATTTAAGGGGTTAACTTGTTTTATTGCTATCAGTCTGTAGTCTATTACTCACAATATTGAGAAAGGAGTAGAGAAAATAATAACTAAATAACTTGAATCATTCACCAGAGATAATGGGAGAGTCAAATGATCAAAACCCAAGTTTTGTGTAACTGCCTTGAGAACTTCATGTTTTTGCTGATTAATATGTATTTCTGACAAATTATATTTGCAAATGGTCCCGTGATCTCTTCTGTACTTTTTCCAGACACTTTTTGGATGGGTGAATTTTGGTGGAGTGTGCCATGCATTTTTTTCTTCTTCCTCATTAGCACTGATACAAACCAGTTGTTCCAGGGACTGGCTCTTGGGGTTTGCAGGGAGCTTTCACATAGGCTTTTATATGGCTGAACGTCATCTCTTCATCTTCACCACAACTATGTTCTTACATACGGGTTTTGCTTCTATTTGGATGATAATTTTCTGAAAGTACAGCTTAAGTCTATGTAGTGCATTAAATGTAGTATGTACATATAACTCAGTGCTGCATACAGACTGAAATGCTCTCTCCATTTTTACATAAGATAGCATTGGCTGGACTGGATTTTGGCTGCTTTTTCATTGGAATGGTTGAGAAGCACAACATTTTTTTAAGACGTTGTCTTTAATTGCTGTGCTTTAAACAATTTTAAGTATTAAAATTCTAATATTACTTAGTATTTAGTATAAAGATTTATAAAGTTGCTGGCATTATGAATTAGTATAATATTTATCTCATTAAAATATGTCTTTAAAATAAGATTAATAACATTATTTTCCTATTTGATTAAGATAACACTATTTCCTATTTCGCTGTTTTGCCCTTATTCTGCTTATAATCAGAATCACTATGGCAGATTGAGAGAGCAGCTTGTGTTCTTATAAAATTGACCATTATAAGTTGTCAATGAACTAATCTGGCTTGAGGGATGTGTACATATATCTATGATGGTGGTTTATCCTCAGAGAGTACATGTACCACCTGGGACCAACTTTTCATTTTTAAGGAAAGAAAATTGTTCTGAAGTGACATTAAGTAGAGTCAATTTAGTAGAATTTGAAGATGGGTTTTGTTTTGTTTTGTTTTGTTTTTTGGTGCCAGTTCTGGAGCTTTAACTCAGGGCCTGGGTACTGTCCCTGAGCTTCTTTTGCTCAAGGCTAGCACTCTACCACTTGAACCACAGTACTACTTCTGGCTTTTTCTGTTTATGTGGTACTAAGGAATCGAACCCAGGACTTCATGCATGCTAGGCAAGCACTCTACCACTAAGCACATTCCCACATTCCCAGCCCTGAAGGCAAGTCTTAAAGAACAAAAATAGTGCTATGTCACATCTGGCTATCCCAGATAGCATTTAAAAAATTCTTTATTTACCTTTTAAATCACTCAGAGCATTTGCCTGAGTGATATCTTTTATTATTCATTTATTAAAAGCTGGGTGTGGTAGCACATTATATAATCCCAGGGCATAGCAGAGGCTGGAGGATTGTGAGATCTATACCAGCACAAGCAAATCTAGTGAGACCCTATCTCTAACACCTCTAACTCATCCCTATAATTCTAGCTACTCAGAAGGCTAAGACACAGAAGATTGTGGTTTGAGACTAGCCCAAGCACTAATGTCCATGACACCCCCCCCCCCATCTTCAAAATAATCATTAAAAAAGCAGGACTACAAGCATGGATCAGGTAGCAGAATGCCATTCAAGCAAGCACAAGGAGCTGAGTTTAAACCCAGTACTAGCAAAAATAAATAAATAAATGAAAACAAAATAGCAGTGGGTACCTCAAGTGGTGGTTTGCCTAACAACTATGAGTCTCCTGGGTTCAACCCTAGTATTGCAAAAGAAAATTCTTATTTTTTTTTAAATGGTCAGATATATATTAAGAACCTGACATGAGCCAGCATTAGCCATAAATGTTTGGGAAACATCAGTAAACAAAATATCTGTGCTCTTATAATCTCAAGATGTTAAGCCACTGAACCATATTTTCTAGTGCAGTCACCTTACTTATTAAAGCTTAAGATTTTGCCAAGTAAACATAGCCAAAAGCCCTAAATAATATAAATGTCTTGTTGTTTTTTTTTAAAAAAATCCTCAACTGCAGAGAAATAACATTTAAACTAGTTGCAGGAAGGCTAATCAATATTGTTTTTATAGCCTACTAAGATAAATTTATATAGCTCTTAAATAATATGAGTCAGTGATACTCAGCTTCCATATGTTAACGAAGTAAATTCTAGCTCTGTGCTTGCTGTACTCACTGAGAACTTGAAATGATCTACATTGATCAAACATACATAAACTTACTTAAGTTACACTGGATATACAAAGAACATAGGCGGTCTAAAGGGTAGAAGCTTTTTATGAAATACCTATTATCAAATTCATGCATTCTTCTGTAATATCCATAATTCTATTACAATACATTAAATACCTGTTTGTGTGTTTGCAGCCTTTCCCTATTTCTTGCTCATGAAGTCTTGATATTTTTGCTGTTATGGTTGATTATCTTACCATTATAGCACACATTTGAGAGGCCGAAATGGGCACGGCTGGCTATAGGAGGCTTGGACCCAGGGTCAGGCTCCAGAATGAAAGTGAGAACCTCAATCTACCTTTAATGCTTTCCATTCAATTGTTTTACATTTCTCACCTCATTTTTAAGTAATTGCCTTTTTGAATCCTTCCCATCCCCAAATACACATACCTTCTCTAATCTAGTAAATCATGTCCCTTCCGAAACCTAATTTTGTAATTCCCTTTCCCAGAAAGCCTCTCGGCACTAGAACCATTCATCCTCTGATGTATAAATGTATTCACCTTACTATGATGATTAGCTAATGAAATTAGGTAGTCCAAACCTCTAAAAAAACATTTCACAGCAATAAAATGACATCACTGTATCAAGAATGAGCTGAGATTTTCCATACATTTATTGTCACCTTCTATTTGGGGATGTATAATGTGCAGCTAAAATTGACTATAGGCAGGACTTAACACTGAAGCAACTATGCCCATCCTTAAAACTCAGCAGAGACCCAAGCGTGGTGACTCATTCCTGTTAATCTAGCTATGCAGAGGCTGAGATCTAAGATTGAAATTTGAAGCCAGACTGGGCACAGATGTCCATGAGACATACTATCTCCCATTAACTAGCAGAAAAGCAGGCTGGAGGTGTGTTTCAAGTGGTCAGGGGTCTGCCTTGTAAGTCTGAGCTCAAGACTGAATCAAAACCCCACTATTGTCCAAGAAACAAAAATCAGCAGAGGAAAGGCCTTAACCAATACACATGAGTAAGTTAACATGCTTATTCCATCCATAGCGGGTATGGTCTGTGTTGTAACGTGTAGGAACAGACATGGACTATGAGTTCTGTTTCATGGCCCACTCTCAGTTTCTGCGACATCTGTAAGAGTGGGTTAGAGTAGATGTAGTGACAAGGTGGCTCCTTTGGCCAAGCGACTAAGTGTGTGATAAAGAACTCTGATAGGTGAAAATGTCATGGCCATGGTGTGCATACAATTTCTGTATCCTTAGAAAAACCAAACCCCCTAAGCCTGAAAGGAATGAGCTCTGAGCAGGGTTTCTGGCTCTGGAGGAAAATGCCATCCCCACGTGGGATGAGTTAGTTAGGAACTGAGGTTTTCCAGTTGGTCCAGCTAAGATCGTGTTGTGGCAACACTGGGATCAGCTCTCCGAGTAGATTTTAAAGCTTCATGAAAAACATCTCTTCTTTCATTCAATGATATGTTTGGTCAGTAGCTCACTTCAGCAAGTATGTGCAACTGTCAAAGCAGAGGACTGGCTTCTAGAGCAGAACAGCTCACCTACCCTCATGAGCTTCAAGGATGAGTTTCTCACGGTCTCATCCTGGTATTGCCAGCTCCCTGTTTCATGGTAGGCATCAGAAATGGATTTGGAACCAATTTTTACCATGGTCCTATGCCCAAGAGAGTTTCCAACCCAGTGCCAAAAGAAAAAAAATATTTTAAGAAAATTCATTTTTCACACAGTTTTGATACATGTATTTATTATGCTTTAAAAGCAACATTACCTAATCTTATTTAAAATAAATGTTTTCCAATTTCAGAATACTTACAATTTATAGTTTTAAGATTAGATTCACTTTGGGAGATGTTGGAAGCAAATACATTCATAGCTGTGTAATGACCTTATGGTCATTCAGTCCCTTCCAGACAGACAATAGCAATAGCAAATCCTGCTGTGCAGCTCAAGGGCAGTGTGGGCAGCAGAGGTACAGCATATCACCAAAAATAGGGCCATTAGAACCAAGATCAGCAGAACAACAGTGTGGACACAGCCTGAAATTAACATGACCTTCTAAAGCTCTTGGTGATACAAAAATCATATAGTCCTAATGCCAAAACAAAAAGGTCTTTGGAGTTTACCCATGATAGCAGTTGACAGCACAGTCAATAAGCATTTACACCAAATGTACTCATTACCGGCCAATAGCAAAGGGTCAGCTCAAGACCAAGCTCACAGTCATAAGTAACATCCTGGGTAAGTAAGGGCATATTTAACTAAACCACAAAGATTGTACAGAACAATTTGATCTCAGAAAATAAGAGAACTCTTTTTGTTCCCAAATAATAGTCAGAACCTCTTGTTATTAGAGAAAAGCCTCAAAGTTATTGAGTCAAAAGCCACAAATCACTGAATCAAAAGCCACACAACTGAACCACTGTAATGTTTCATTTTAATCACAAAGCTCCTGTTTGAGCAGTTATCTCAATTGACTTCAATTAAAACATGTCTACCACCTAACACGTTTTGGGTTCATGGTACTTCTTACTTGCAAGCACCTCCTACCCACATGGCTTGACAGGTCTGTGGGGGAGGGGCATAGCCACAGGACTAGTTACCTACCCACCATCCTCCTCTTACGGTATCTGGAACTTGGGAACAGCTTGGTTGCTGCCTGGTGCTGCCTTTGATCTGGCCATGGTTTCACCAGAATTGCTGGCCTGGGAATGGTTGAAGCAGTCAGACTAAAAGCAAAAATCAAAGTACCAGAGGCTTCTGGCATGAGTGAGGTGCCATAAAAGAGGAAAGCAGCAGTTTGTGCTGATGGGGAAAAAGGAAATTGCCACTTTAATGTGGTAGCATTTGTGTAGTTGAGAATTTTGTTCATTACATAAAATGTAGCTTCAAAGAAGTCCATTTGTGCATGCGTGTGTG